TAGATGGGATATTGCTGTGTGCGGCGTAAAACAACAAACAAACAAACTAAACACAACAACAGGTGTTCTAGTAAGCAGTGTTTAAATTGATGTATGTCACTCACGGGGTCTGTGAGGACTGCCAACGTGGTGGTCACGTGCTGCAGTGGTGACAATCGATACCAGGGACGTCTCCTTGACCTGGTCAGTGCGTGGCGCAGATTACAGTATACACATGATACCTGCACAGACAGATTTATTGGTATGTGGAGCCAATGCTACAAACCAAAAGTGTATTTGATTACATTGTGGTGCTTATTACATGAATGTTTGAGAGATTTCTTGGCCCATTGGAAATAGCACACTGATTACTGTTATGAGTTATGGTCATAAATAGCTTAGTTAATGTGACTGCCATGGCAAATTGAAAGTCAGGTTTGAACCTCTTGAGGTGAGGTGAAATAGGGTTTTAATGTCGCCTCCAAGATTATTGCACTTATATAGCCAAGTGCATGCACGTGTGTGTGTGTGTGTGTGTGTGTGTGTGGCTGCTTGTACTAGTCCGGACTAATGCCGAATTATAATGCTAGCCCACTGACATACCATGCCGCAGTTTAACATGAATGCCCCACTCAGACACAGTATACTGACTCCGAGCCGACCAGTCCTTGTTTTAGCCCCTTAATGCCGAGTGCCAGACAGGGTAACAACAATTACCATCTTTTAACGTCTTTTAGTATGACACGGCCGGGAATCGAACCCGGACCTTCCGCTCGCCGGCGGACGCTCTACCACTAGACCACGGTGGCGGTCTTGAACCTCTTGAACAAATTGGTGTGTGATCGCTGGTGAGAGCAAGTATGTGCCGTTTCAGCTTCATAGGTCCAGTGGTTTTCTGGGTAGAAGTTCTTTACGGTGTGAGAAACGGCATTCGTATAATATTCAACACTATTTTGTCTTTTAAGGACACTGGAATCTGTTTCTGAGATAAATAACGTGAATTTGTGTCTGACAGGAAATGCATATTTCAGGAAAATACACAAAAATGTTCTTTCAAGATGTTGATAACTGTCACAATCAGAAATTTTAGCAAGGGAATACTGAATTTACCACATGCTCTGAATGTGTCACATCTTGTAACAGTGTTAAATACTTTCTAAGTTGTATCTAAGCGCAGGAGTCCGTATCTAAAAATAGACGCCCTCATGCATATTCATGACCATCTCCACACGCGAGCCCGAGATGGTCATGAATATGCATGAGGGCGTCTATTTTTTAGATACGGACTCCTGTGATCTGAGACTTGACACTCGCATAAGGCCATACATAATTTGTTTGTGTTTCTCATCTCCAACTTAACCAGCAATAGATCGGGCGTCCGAAAGAAAATGTTTGATATTTTATGACATTTTAAAATTTAGAAAACATGTTGCTAGTCCCACCATTTTCATCTTTCCTCAGCTGACCTGTGAGTATTTTTTTTATCACATCGGGGCATTCATTGTCAAAAATTGTAAACTTGAGATAAGAATGTCTGTATTTCTTCACGTCGGAATGAAAATTCAGGGCGGGCGGGAGATTCGAAACACAGAAATAAATACGGACATAAGGACATACGGACACACGGACATGGAATCTGCTGGTGGTAGGTTTGGCGATACATGTCATTTAGTCTGCGTAATTGAATACAAAAATAACTCTTGATAACCATTTCTCATGAAACCCGTACACAAAAATATCTACACATAAATGCCGGTAGAAACTTCCTTACTACAGATACCAGTTGCTCTGACCATTTTCATCTGATTGCTTTTCATTAGCATTTAGTAAGAGTGAAATGGATACTTGTGTCCATCCTTCATAATTTCAAACAATATTTTTTAACTGACAAAAAACATAGGACGGCCAGTTTCACCAAGAATTGTATCAAAAATAAGGTCAAATATCGCTTTAGGTACCAAATGTGATCTTTTTCTGTGGAATCATGATAATTGTTCCCCATAATGTCGGATTCATATAATAGAATACGTGCAATTTTAAGATACTGAGAGGACTTTGAACATTATATATAATTGTTCTCCTTGAATAATTTATATAATGTGAGTGAGTGAGTATGGTTTTACGCCGCTTTTAGCAATATTCCAGCAATATCACGGCGGGGGACACCAGAAACGGGATTCACACATTGTACCCATGTCGGGAATCGAACCCGGGTTTTCGGCGTGACGAGCGAACGCTTTAACCACTAGGCTACCCGACCGCCCCAATTTATATAGAACCGGGGTAAGAATTTAGGTCTACATTTATAGATTGCCATACTTACTTTAGATGCTTGTAGAAGTGGTTCTTTACTGGCCTTATTAAGCCCCCGTTACACTATCGTCGGGGTAGGCAAAGGACTATATTGTGCTAGGTTTGGCTTCAGAGGAAGCACCAGCTTAGTGCCTTTAATTGTTGTCTCCAAGAGAGGATTCCAGTGCCGATGTCAGCTATTTAAGAATGAACAGGGAAACGTTTGGGTTTCTTCTTGAAAACGTGAGGCCGTACATTCAACGACAGGACACAAGACATCAAATCCATTAAAGTTTGATGAGAAACAGGATTGGTTTCTGTTCCATTAAAGCCGGTCAAAATCGTTTTGGACGGTATGTAACACTAGTGCTTGAGACTGTAACGGGGGCATTAGATCACATTAGTCTCGAAGACAAAACCAAATATTTATAAAATGTAACAACTTAGGTAATATTACACTTTATCATTTTCAAGTTTCAATTATTCTGCAAAACTTAAAATAATCCGAGGAACCTTTTTTCCTCAGCGAAGGAATATGCCATGTAGGAGTTAACAGATTGTTTATTTTGGTTCACAGCAACTTAACACGGCAATGGAAAACATGTATCACTACGCACGATCTATACGTAAGATTTCGACAATTTTCTGATATTAATTTTAATGCATTTATTTCTCAAAAGGGAAACAATAAAGTGGAAATGATAACTAGAATTCATCACTCGTGTTTCAAAAATGGGGAAATATCAACATCGTTCCGTTAATATTAAAATTTTAAAAAACTCTCGTGATGAATCCCCTTTATATCCAATGCCCCAGTTTCTTAATACAATAGTTTCATTCAGATTTACTGACAAATGAAATCAGACCATAAAACCTTTAGTGAGAATATCAGTACCCTTCATCTGTACCAGATGGGACGTGTACCTTCACATTCAAATCATTATCAGATGGTTTATCATCAGATATGTAAATATAAAATAACTTCATGATACGTGTGGTATGTTTAAGGCCTTCTAGTGTATGATGTACTGGAAGACGTCATGCATGGTTGGGGTGTTATTGTGCCAACAGCTACAAAGGAGTTTCTGTTAATGGTAGCCAATCACTGAGGCCGTTTGTAACCTGATTATTTGCAGGTGGCGCAAGTGTTCGTTCGTCATCTGGTAATAGTACCAATATCACAGAAAAGGTAATAAATAACATACCAATATGTAAACCCTGCAAGAAAAGAAAAGCACAAGTGATTTTATATGATTTATATTATATATATCATATAAATAATCAACAGATGGTAATTGATTGTTCAAATTTGGCACAGATCATTCTCATTGACCCAGATTCCTTGTGGTACACGAGGACAGTAGATTTTCATGGTGAAGGTCATCTGTTCTCAATTTCTTGTATGGCCACCATTAGAGTCCAAGTCTAATTGGTATGGTCATCCCATGGAAGCAATCAGATCCCGAATTGTGGCGTGCTGCAGTGCATGTGCCGGAGGTTCTGTGTCGCTGATCCAGTGCAACCCATAAATGTTCGATTGGGTTTAAATCTGGAGACCTGGAGGGTCATGGCAGGACCTGGATGTTGTGATCCCTGAAAAAGGATGTTGACAGTCTTGCTGTGTGAGATTGGGCGTTGTCTTGTTGGAAAATGACGTTCGTTGGTTGCATTATGGGAAGGACGTGTGGCAGAAGAATCTCATCTGTGTAACGCTGTTCCGTTAAATGTCCCAGAACTTGCACCAAGTCGGTTCTACCAGTGTAGGAGATGGCTACCCACATCACCACACTACCACCACAAAATCTGTCCGCTTCATGTATGCAGTTTAACAAAGTTAAATCTTCATGAGTATTCATAGGATACATGCAGAAATGGTTCAGTAAACAGGTGCAATGGTGACCGGGTCAAAATTGAATCAGAAGTGTGAGAAGTTTACCAACAGCATTTAGTTACATAAGCTTATGTGAATTTTGAGTCCAGGGTCCCCTTCCACAAAACTATCTTAGCGCCATGACTCTCATTTGAATACTGGAGTTAGGATCATTGTAGCTCTAAGATCATTTTATGCAAGTGGAACCAGGTGACCTACAGAATGTAATTCAAAGTGAGTGAGTGAGTGAACTGGGTTTAACGCCACTTTTAACAGTATTCCAATTATATCACGGTGTGTCAGCTTAATGTGGGAGGAAAGCCAGAAGTGATGCAGGTCTCCGTTAACCACTTCAATGAAACCCACGAGCATGGTGCTGACAAACCTAGAAACATAATCAGGGAGCATGGGCGGAAACAGCTTTTTTGAAAAGGAGGGGTGCACAATTAAGATCTATTTATTGTCTTTGGTGGTAATTTATACAGAAATAAAGATTTTTTTCGAAATAAAAAGGGGGGGTGCGCACCCCCGCAACCCCCCCCTCTGTATCCGCCCATGAGGGAGAACTGGGATTCGAACCCCTTATCATAGGTTTCTGGCGTGTCCAAGGGACGCAACTCTGCACAGCGAATCGCGGCGCCTTAGACGACTGGGCTACCCGTGATCCCTAACGCCAAGTTACTATTACTAAGACTTTGATCTCAACTATCATGCTAGACATCTTCCACAGGTTTCAGGTTCATGAATTCATCCCTTTGACTGCGTCAGAGAAGCTGGATGTGCTATGGACAGACAATACAACATGTGATAAACTCACTTAGACCTTCGGTCGTGGTGAGCTAAAAACATTAAAACATCCTTTTCTTTGGTGAAAATTGTATTGATTTCTGAAACATGATACAATATATACAAGACAGAAGCACTTTGTTTCTGTTAGTGAGAAATACAATGACAACACTGCAGCTGCTGATTCACATCCTCTGAAGGCAAACTGAACTCCAGCACAGGACCATTCCTCATGCTGGACTCATTCAGTTCTCCCCCACAGCACACTGTATACAGTGATTGGTTGGCCCAGGCTCCTTCAGTTCTCCCCCACAGCACACTGTATACAGTGATTGGTTGGCCCAGACTCCTGCAGGTACAGACTGGGCGGGGGTTCGAGAAGCACTTCACTCATTTCATGTAATGTAAGAAAGACAAGGACATCCACTGTGTTAGGTTGAACTTAGATGGGAATCTCCTGATGCCTCTCAGTCATCCCTGCACAGCTTGTCTGTCAACTAGTTCGATAATGTTTCTGTATTCTGGCCTTGACACATGCTTGATTAAAAACAACAGTTCTCTTGGCAATGATATCAACATGTTCATGTCAGATCATCACAATGTTCACAAAGGAGAGCACTGGATAAACCAAAGCAGTGTTGGTGCTGGGCCATAGACCAAGGCAGTGTTGGTCCTGGGCCGTAGACAATGGCAGTGTTGCTGCTTATAAGCATTGGCAGGCTGGCCAGTGTTGTTGGTAGATTGTCGGAGTATTGTTGCCTGACATTGTTTGTTGGTGGACCATGTCATTGTCATTGTCTGACATCGTGGGGAGACCGGTCGGCTCTAGGCCATGATGTTCTTCATGTGTTCATAGCCTGCTTTGATGAGGTATTGGAAGTTGGAGTTGTGTCTGCAGGCTCCGAGCTCCTCGCTGGACAGGATCGCCTCCTGGCATGGCAGCACATCCTCCAGGTCTCCTCCTGCAACAGCAAACGGGCAGGATCAGACTCTCCATATCACATCTCAATTATAAGGGATGAAACTGTACAGATCTGTAGATTAGGGCACAAAGACACACACCCAGTCAAATCACAAAGTTTGATCACTGGAATTCTTACAGGAAGCATGTTATGTTTTGGTATAAGGTAAGATGGAGGTGGAAAATAAAATATGATGATTTGTGGAGCTGGCAGTTCCTAAACTGTGGATACATATGTGAACTCAGCAGAGCTAATCTCCCCCTACTCCACTAGCACTAGCACAGGGAGACAGATCACCAGCACCAGCACTAGTGAGATAGATCACAGCACTAGCACTAGCACTAGCACTAGCACAGGGAGAACAGATCACCAGCACAGGGAGACAGATCATCAGCACCAGCACTAGCACAGGCAGATAGATCACAGCACTAGCACTAGCACAGGGAGATAGATCACAGCACTAGCACCAGCACAGGGAGATAGATCACCAGCACTAGTAGCAAAGGGAGACAGGCCCACTAGCACCAGCACAGGGAGAAAGATAACCAGCAAAAGGACAGGTGGACAAAGTCACCACACCAGACAGTGGGGGTCACATGATATACCTGCCAGGTGTATAGATCTACTCTGGACATTCCACGTTACAGGGACCTACCTTCTGTGTATGCTAGATCGATGGTCTTGAAGAACACTGTTTCCCGGATGACATCCAGTGGGTCACCGTCTGCAGGGTTGGTCCAGCTGTGAACACAAACACCGGTCAGTGGAGTCCCTGGTACAGGTGTCCAGGCCATGGATCTGCCACCTGGTCCTTATCACGCGAACTTTCACAAATTACAATACGTATTTTGTTGTGATCGTCAGTATTGTTGACATCGGTTGATAATTTTATCATTTAGTTTTTATGTCTACTGCAGGAACTTCCAAAAATGAGTGGAGTTTCTCGAATGGACCGATGCTAAATAATTACCCTCTCTTAACAGATTTGCAAATGATTTGTATGAATTTAGTTGCAAATTCTTAACACATACAGGAATTTGGGACAGCTGGCAAGATTGAAAGGCATTTAGAAGTGATGCACATAAAGAAGAGAATTTATGGATGTCAACTTCCTAATTATGAGGAACACAACGTTTCGGAGTATATACTTACTAGTACATCAGGTGAATGATGAAGGAGTAAGTATATACTCTGAAACATAATGTTCCTCATAATAAAGAAGTTGACATCCATAAATTCTCTTCATCCAGTCTAGTTGTGAACCTTCTCCTTGGTCAAAATCTTATAACTTCAAACTCGGTCAAAAGAGAAAAGCCTACTCAGTTTTTGGCAAACGATCTGTGCTTTGATTTCTACTATTGGATATCCTGGTTGCTATTCACAAGATGCACCATTCAGACTAAAGTCTGACTTACTTGTCTCTTAAAATGGCTCGGCACCAGATGTGTAGCTTGAGATCATTGAGGTCAGCACCTCCTTCAGCCTGAAACACACAGACAAAAGTATTCCAGGTACATCCACACGGGGCTCTCTCGAGAAGAGACAAAGGCAGATCACAGACACACTCAAGGAGGTGTCACTAGGGGTACTACTTGGGGAGAGACTAAGGCAGATCACAGACACACTCACGGAGGTGTCACTAGGGGTACTACTAGGGGAGAGACAAAGGCCGATCACAGACACACTCACGGAGGTGACTCTAGGGGTACTACTTGGGCAGAGACAAAGGCAGATCACAGACACACTCACGGAGGTGTCACTAGGGGTACTACTTGGGCAGAGACAAAGGCAGATCACAGACACACTCACGGAGGTGTCACTAGGGGTACTACTTGGGCAGAGACAAAGGCAGATCACAGACACACTCACGGAGGTGTCACTAGGGGTACTACTTGGGCAGAGACTAAGGCAGATCATAGACACACTCACGGAGGTGTCACTAGGGGTACTACTTGGGCAGAGACAAAGGCAGATCACAGACACACTCAAGGAGGTGTCACTAGGGGTACTACTAGGGGAGAGACAAAGGCAGATCACAGACACACTCACGGAGGTGTCACTAGGGGTACTACTTGGGGAGAGACAAAGGCAGATCACAGACACACTCACGGAGGTGTCACTAGGGGTACTACTTGGGCAGAGACAAAGGCAGATCACAGACACACTCACGGAGGTGTCACTAGGGGTACTACTTGGGCAGAGACAAAGGCAGATCACAGACACACTCACGGAGGTGTCACTAGGGGTACTACTAGGGGAGAGACAAAGGCAGATCACAGACACACTCACGGAGGTGTCACTAGGGGTACTACTAGGGGAGAGACAAAGGCAGATCACAGACACACTCACGGAGGTGTCACTAGGGGTACTACTAGGAGAGAGACAAAGGCATATCACAGACACACTCACGGAGGTGTCACTAGGGGTACTACTAGGAGAGAGACAAAGGCAGATCACAGACACACTCACGGAGGTGTCACTAGGGGTACTAGAGACAAAGGCAGATCACAGACATACTCAAGGAGGTGTCACTAGGGGTACTAGAGACAAAGGCAGATCACAGACACACTCAAGGAGGTGTCACTAGGGGTACTACTTGGGCAGAGACAAAGGCAGATCACAGACACACTCACGGAGGTGTCACTAGGGGTACTACTAGGAGAGAGACAAAGGCAGATCACAGACACACTCACGGAGGTGTCACTAGGGGTACTAGAGACAAAGGCAGATCACAGACACACTCAAGGAGGTGTCACTAGGGGTGCTAGAGACAAAGGCAGATCACAGACACACTCAAGGAGGTGTCACTAGGGGTACTACTTGGGCAGAGACAAAGGCAGATCACAGACACACTCAAGGAGGTGTCACTAGGGGTGCTACTTGGGGAGAGACAAAGGCAGATCACAGACACACTCACGTAGGTGTCACTAGGGGTACTACTAGGGGAGAGACAAAGGCAGATCACAGACACACTCACGGAGGTGTCACTAGGGGTACTACTAGGGGAGAGACAAAGGCAGATCACAGACACACTCAAGGAGGTGTCACTAGGGGTACTACTTGGGCAGAGACAAAGGCAGATCACAGACACACTCACGGAGGTGTCACTAGGGGTACTACTAGGAGAGAGACAAAGGCAGATCACAGACACACTCACGGAGGTGTCACTAGGGGTACTAGAGACAAAGGCAGATCACAGACACACTCAAGGAGGTGTCACTAGGGGTACTAGAGACAAAGGCAGATCACAGACACACTCAAGGAGGTGTCACTAGGGGTACTACTTGGGCAGAGACAAAGGCAGATCACAGACACACTCAAGGAGGTGTCACTAGGGGTGCTACTTGGGGAGAGACAAAGGCAGATCACAGACACACTCACGGAGGTGTCACTAGGGGTACTACTAGGGGAGAGACAAAGGCAGATCACAGACACACTCACGGAGGTGTCACTAGGGGTACTACTAGGGGAGAGACAAAGGCAGATCACAGACACACTCAAGGAGGTGTCACTAGGGGTACTACTTGGGCAGAGACAAAGGCAGATCACAGACACACTCACGGAGGTGTCACTAGGGGTACTACTAGGGGAGAGACAAAGGCAGATCACAGACACACTCACGGAGGTGTCACTAGGGGTACTACTAGGGGAGAGACAAAGGCAGATCACAGACACACTCACGGAGGTGTCACTAGGGGTACTACTAGGGGAGAGACAAAGGCAGATCACAGACACACTCACGGAGGTGTCACTAGGGGTACTACTTCGGCAGAGACAAAGGCAGATCACAGACACACTCACGGAGGTGTCACTAGGGGTACTACTTGGGCAGAGACAAAGGCAGATCACAGACACACTCATGGAGGTGTCACTAGGGGTGCTACTAGGGGAGAGACAAAGGCAGATCACAGACACACTCACGGAGGTGTCACTAGGGGTACTACTTGGGCAGAGACAAAGGCAGATCACAGACACACTCACGGAGGTGTCACTAGGGGTACTACTTGGGCAGAAACAAAGGCAGATCACAGACACACTCACAGAGGTGTCACTAGGGGAGAGACAAAGGCAGATCACAGACACACTCAAGGAGGTGACTCTAGGGGAGCTACTAGGAGAGAGACAAAGGCAGATCACAGACACACTCACGGAGGTGTCACTAGGGGTACTACTAGGGGAAGAGACAAAGGCAGATCACAGACACTCACGGAGGTGTCACTAGGGGTGCTACTTGGGGAGAGACAAAGGCAGATCACAGACACTCACGGAGGAGACCCTAGGTGTGCTACTTGGGGAGAGACAAAGGCAGATCACAGACACACTCAAGGAGGAGACCCTAGGGGTGCTACTTGGGGAGAGACAAAGGCAGATCATAGACACACTCACGGAGGTGACTCTAGGGGTGCTACTTGGGCAGAGACAAAGGCAGATCACAGACACACTCACGGAGGTGTCACTAGGGGTACTACTAGGGGAGAGACAAAGGCAGATCACAGACACACTCACGGAGGTGTCACTAGGGGTGCTACTTGGGGAGAGACAAAGGCAGATCACAGACACACTCACGGAGGTGTCACTAGGGGTACTACTAGGGGAGAGACAAAGGCAGATCACAGACACACTCACGGAGGTGTCACTAGGGGTGCTACTTGGGGAGAGACAAAGGCAGATCATAGACACACTCACGGAAGTGTCACTAGGGGTGCTACTTGGGGAGAGACAAAGGCAGATCACAGACACACTCAAGGAGGTGTCACTAGGGGTGCTACTTGGGGAGAGACAAAGGCAGATCATAGACACACTCACGGAGGTGTCACTAGGGGTGCTACTAAGGGAGAGACAAAGGCAGATCACAGACACACTCAAGGAGGTGACTCTAGGGGTGCTACTAGGAGAGAGACAAAGGCAGATCACAGACACTCAAGGAGGAGACACTAGGGGTACTACTAGGAGAGAGACAAAGGCAGATCACAGACACACTCAAGGAGGTGTCACTAGGGGTGCTACTAGGGGAGAGACAAAGGCAGATCACAGACACACTCACGGAGGTGTCACTAGGGGTACTACTAGGGGAAGAGACAAAGGCAGATCACAGACACACTCACGGAGGTGACCCTAAGGGGTGCTACTTGGGGAGAGACAAAGGCAGATCACAGACACTCACGGAGGAGACCCTAGGTGTGCTACTTGGGGAGAGACAAAGGCAGATCACAGACACACTCAAGGAGGAGACCCTAGGGGTGCTACTTGGGGAGAGACAAAGGCAGATCACAGACACACTCACGGAGGTGTCACTAGGGGTACTACTAGGGGAAGAGACAAAGGCAGATCACAGACACTCACAGAGGTGTCACTAGGGGTGCTACTTGGGGAGAGACAAAGGCAGATCACAGACACTCACGGAGGTGACTCTAGGGGTGCTACTTGGGGAGAGACAAAGGCAGATCACAGACACACTCACGGAGGTGACTCTAGGGGTGCTACTTGGGGAGAGACAAAGGCAGATCACAGACACACTCAAGGAGGTGTTACTAGGGGTGCTACTTGGGGAGAGACAAAGGCAGATCACAGACACACTCACGGAGGTGTCACTAGGGGTGCTACTTGGGGAGAGACAAAGGCAGATCATAGACACACTCACGGAGGAGACCCTAGGTGTGCTACTTGGGGAGAGACAAAGGCAGATCATAGACACACTCACGGAGGTGTCACTAGGGGTGCTACTTGGGGAGAGACAAAGGCAGATCATAGACACATTCGCAGAAGTGTCACTAGGGGTGCTACTTGGGGAGAGACAAAGGCAGATCATAGACACACTCACGGAGGAGACCCTAGGTGTGCTACTTGGGGAGAGACAAAGGCAGATCATAGACACACTCACGGAGGTGTCACTAGGGGTGCTACTTGGGGAGAGACAAAGGCAGATCATAGACACACTCACGGAAGTGTCACTAGGGGTGCTACTTGGGGAGAGACAAAGGCAGATCATAGACACACTCACGGAGGAGACCCTAGGTGTGCTACTTGGGGAGAGACAAAGGCAGATCATAGACACACTCACGGAGGTGTCACTAGGGGTGCTACTTGGGGAGAGACAAAGGCAGATCATAGACACACTCACGGAGGTGTCACTAGGGGTGCTACTTGGGGAGAGACAAAGGCAGATCACAGACACACTCACGGAGGTGACTCTAGGGGTGCTACTTGGGGAGAGACAAAGGCAGATCACAGACACACTCAAGGAGGTGTTACTAGGGGTGCTACTTGGGGAGAGACAAAGGCAGATCACAGACACACTCACGGAGGTGTCACTAGGGGTGTTACTTGGGGCAGAGAACAGTATGTGACATTACTATAGATATGATGCACCTGCCACTAACCACATGGTCCTGGAGGTCACTCACCTTGTCGAGGTACTGTAAGAGGTCCAGGGCCTTCTTGAAGTCATACTCCGATGCCATCTTGTTCTTGTCCCCCACATACAGCTGAAACATAAGGCCATGTGTGTGTACGTATGTCAGTGTGTACATGTGTCAGTGTGTACATGTGTCAGTGTGTACATGTGTCAGTGTGTACTTAACCCAATTGTATGGATCGATGCTCATGATATCAATCACTTGATTGTCTGGTCCAGACTTGATTATTTACAGATCACTGGCATAAATACTTGATCAAGTGTAACAGAAAAACAGTTCTTCTCCTAATTGATGAAGCATAAAAGAGACAACCTAAAAACTTGTGGTGTTTTCTGTGAGACTGCTCCTGACCTCACCTCAATGAGTTCCGTGGTGGACATCACACCCATGTTGGCGGGGTCCATCCCCAGCGTCTGCAACACGTGATTGAGAGAAAATCTCATATAATCCCACTGAATCAATGAATATGGGATCGAAATAACTTCATGACCAGCTGACCTCAATCCTTGTGAGCACCTCACAGTCAAGGCTGTTTGCAAATAGTACATTTGACGTGGTGAACAGGAGAAATTCACTGGTCAAACAGTCAATTTGCCACACAATAGAAAAACTAACAACATAAGGACCATGACATGATTCATATTTTTCACTACCAAGTCGGACAACATCGACATAAAAATGACAAGCCAACTGGCATTTGTGTATGGCTTATCTGTACAAATCCCTTGATTTTAATGATAAAGTTACTTCCTCCTGTGAATAGCTTGAGAAGACCTAAGACAATACTTCACTATTTACCCATGAAGATTCGGTGTAGAATAGGTCTTCAATAACCCATGCTTGCCATAGAAGGCAACTATGCTTGTTGTAAGAGGTGACTAACGGGGCCGGTTGATCAGGCTCACTGACTTGGTTGATGCTTGTCATCGTATCCAAATTGCATGGATCGATGATCATGACATGAATCACTGGATTGTCTGGTCCAGACTCGATTATTTACAGACCGCCATCATATAGCTGGAACATTGCTGAGTGTGGCGTTAAACAACAAACAAACAAACAAACAAACATCACTATTACACATAAGTATAAACTTATTGATGACAGTGGGACAGAATGTGAATGTGTCTGAGTGAGGTGACGTAGGCCAATGGCTGGACTGTGTCACTGTGTCACTGTGTCACTGTCTCACCTCCAGGACCTCCTCCGGGAGCTGCTCCTGGTGCAGGATCAGGGTAAGCTCATCGTTGATGCCTGCAACACACACAGAGTCATTTCCTTCACAGCAATGTCCAGCCCACACATCTATACATCAGAGGGGAGAGGTACACACACACAGAGTCAGTTCCTTCACAGCATTGTCCAGCCCACACATCTATACATCAGAGTGGAACACACAGCCATACACACACAACACACACAGTCAGTTCCTTCACAGCATTTTCCAGCCCACACATCTATACATCAGAGTGGAACACACAGCCATACACACACAACACACAAACAGAGTCAGTTCCTTCACAGCATTGTCCAGCCCACACATCTATACATCAGAGTGGAACACACAGCCATACACACACAACACACAAACAGAGTCAGTTCCTTCACAGCATTGTCCAGCCCACACATCTATACATAAGAGTGGAACACACAGCCATACACACACAACACACAACACACACACAGAGTCAGTTCCTTCACAGCATTGTCCAGCCCACACATCTATACATCAGAGTGGAACACACAGCCATACACACACAACACACAAACAGAGTCAGTTCCTTCACAGCATTGTCCAGCCCACACATCTATACATCAGAGTGGAACACACAGCCATACACACACAACACACAAACAGAGTCAGTTCCTTCACAGCATTGTCCAGCCCACACATCTATACATCAGAGTGGAACACACATCCATACACATACACACACAACACACAACACACACACAGAGTCATTTCCTTCACAGCATTGTCCAGCCCACACATCTATACATCAGAGTGGAACACACAGCCATACACACACAACACACAAACAGAGTCAGTTCCTTCACAGCATTGTCCAGCCCACACATCTATACATCAGAGTGGAACACACAGCCATACACACACAACACACAAACAGAGTCAGTTCCTTCACAGCATTGTCCAGCCCACACATCTATACATCAGAGTGGAACACACAGCCATACACACACAACACACAAACAGAGTCAGTTCTTTCACAGCATTGTCCAGCCCACACATCTATACATCAGAGTGGAACACACAGCCATACACACACAACACACAAACAGAGTCAGTTCCTTCACAGCATTGTCCAGCCCACACATCTATACATCAGAGTGGAACACACAGCCATACACACACAACACACAAACAGAGTCAGTTCCTTCACAGCATTGTCCAGCCCACACATCTATACATCAGAGTGGAACACACAGCCATACACACACAACACACAAACAGAGTCAGTTCCTTCACAGCATTGTCAAGCCCACACATCTATACATCAGAGTGGAACACACAGCCATACACACACAACACACAACACACACACAGAGTCAGTTCCTTCACAGCATTGTCCAGCCCACACATCTATACATCAGAGTGGAACACACAGCCATACACACACAACACACAAACAGAGTCAGTTCCTTCACAGCATTGTCCAGCCCACACATCTATACATCAGAGTGGAACACACAGCCATACACACACAACACACAAACAGAGTCAGTTCCTTCACAGCATTGTCCAGCCCACACATCTATACATAAGAGTGGAACACACATCCATACACACACAACACACAACACACACACAGAGTCAGTTCCTTCACAGCATTGTCCAGCCCACACATCTATACATCAGAGTGGAACACACAGCCATACACACACAACACACAAACAGAGTCAGTTCCTTCACAGCATTGTCCAGCCCACACATCTATACATCAGAGTGGAACACACAGCCATACACACACAACACACAAACAGAGTCAGTTCCTTCACAGCATTGTCAAGCCCACACATCTATACATAAGAGTGGAACACACATCCATACACACACAACACACAACACACACACAGAGTCAGTTCCTTCACAGCATTGCCCAGCCCACACATCTATACATCAGAGTGGAACACACAGCCATACACACACAACACAAAAACAGAGTCAGTTCCTTCACAGCATTGTCCAGCCCACACATCTATACATCAGAGTGGAACACACAGCCATACACACACAACACACACAGTCAGTTCCTTCACAGCATTGTCCAGCCCACACATCTATACATCAGAGTGGAACACACAGCCATACACACACAACACACAAACAGAGTCAGTTCCTTCACAGCATTGTCCAGCCCACACATCTATACATAAGAGTGGAACACACATCCATACACACACAACACACAGCCATACACACACAACACACAACACACAAACAGAGTCAGTTCCTTCACAGCATTGTCCAGCCCACACATCTATACATCAGAGTGGAACACACAGCCATACACACACAACACACACAGTCAGTTCCTTCACAGCATTTTCCAGCCCACACATCTATACATCAGAGTGGAACACACAGCCATACACACACAACACACAAACAGAGTCAGTTCCTTCACAGCATTGTCCAGCCCACACATCTATACATAAGAGTGGAACACACATCCATACACACACAACACACAACACACACACAGAGTCATTTCCTTCACAGCATTGTCCAGCCCACACATCTATACATCAGAGTGGAACACACAGCCATACACACACAACACACAAACAGAGTCAGTTCCTTCACAGCATTGTCCAGCCCACACATCTATACATCAGAGTGGAACACACAGCCATACACACACAACACACAAACAGAGTCAGTTCCTTCACAGCATTGTCCAGCCCACACATCTATACATAAGAGTGGAACACACATCCATACACACACAACACACAGCCATACACACACAACACACAGCACACAAACAGAGTCAGTTCCTTCACAGCATTGTCCAGCCCACACATCTATACATCAGAGTGGAACACACAGCCATACACACACAACACACACAGTCAGTTCCTTCACAGCATTTTCCAGCCCACACATCTATACATCAGAGTGGAACACACAGCCATACACACACAACACACAAACAGAGTCAGTTCCTTCACAGCATTTTCCAGCCCACACATCTATACATCAGAGTGGAACACACAGCCATACACACACAACACACAAACAGAGTCAGTTCCTTCACAGCATTTTCCAGCCCACACATCTATACATCAGAGTGGAACACACAGCCATACACACACAACACACAAACAGAGTCAGTTCCTTCACAGCATTGTCCAGCCCACACATCTATACATCAGAGTGGAACACACAGCCATACACACACAACACACACAGTCAGTTCCTTCACAGCATTGTCCAGCCCACACATCTATACATCAGAGTGGAACACACAGCCATACACAAACAACACACAGACAGACACACACAACACACAGAGTCAGTTCCTTCACAGCATTGTCGTGCCCACACATTTATACATCAGAGATTACAGGAACACACACACAAACACACACAACACACAGACACTCTGGTACTTCACAGCAATGTCAAGACTACATATCTATACATCAGAGTGGAAACATCTTCCCTAGGCAAGGGAGTTAACTGACTATAAAAGTCCAGTTTCAACCCTTCCCAAACCAGGCTGCAATTATGCATAGTCCAATCAAAATAGCGTAACGAAATCGTCATCCGGTTTGAAAACTGCCGTGCAGATTTCGGCGGACTGCATGATTTGCAAAGCATGTGTACCGACAACTTAGGGTCAGCCAATATTTGTCAAATCTTTTAAAGTTTTTAATCAAGGTGCTCACATGATTTGATGCATTTCACAAAGTAGGACCCGTTTTATTACAATATAGATAAATGTATTATAAATCAGATCGTCTTCACCATGTTCACTGGGCGAAGCCATGTTATTTAAAGCAAATGCAAGTGATAGAGAGATAGAATCTGATTGGTCAATAGGAGGAACATGGAAGGGTAATAACCCAGAATAGCCACTCGAACCTGGAAATTCCAGCCTAGTTCGGCAAGGGTGGAAACAGGACTTTTATAGTCAGTTAACATGGAGTGGAGAGGAACATTCTTGTTTGTGCGCTCACGTCCATACCCACCAGTACCCACACCCACCTATACATACATCAGAGTGGATTGCCTACAACCATGCTTGGTGTTGAACTCGCAACCGTTTGACCGGTATGTTTACAAACAAGTGATGACTATGATAATTCCGAACACTCTTCCCAAATTATTTTGTTGGTTTGTCAATTTGAATTTCTATTTCAGCTATCATGTAATTAGTTAAGTGAGAATGCAAGGGGGAAGTTGGGTGTTCTTCAAACAGTCCGTAATCTCACCCCAATCTGATCTAACAAACATGAATGCATCTGGGAAATAGTCAGTTGTAAACATTTTCCCAGTTCACCAGAATGGCATTCCCAAAGACATACACACAATATATATATATGGGGTTAGAGGAAAAATTTGGAAGATTGTTGTCATGGCACTTGCACATCAGTGGCAGTGATGATACTGAGGGGTGATGAGGGTGTCACGCGCTGGGAAGGAGCCATCTTCCCGAGGCAAGAGAGTTAACTGACTATAAAAGTCCAGTTTCCACCCTTGCTGAACTAGGCTGGTATTATGGAGTTACATTTTGGCTCGACTAACGAGTCTATGCATAGCCTAATCAAAATCGCGCTACGAAATCAAAATTCAGTTCATAAACTGTCATGCAGATTTGGGTTGATTGCAGAATTTGCAAAGCATGTGCACTGCCAACTCGTTGTCAACAGATATTTTCCAAGTATTTTCATGTTTTTAATCAAGGTGCTCACATGATTTGATGCACTTCGCGATGTAAGACCCGTTTTATCACAATAAAGGTCTTGATTATTGATCAGATCGTCCTGACTAGGCGTGAGTGAGTATGGTTTTACGCCACTTTTAGCAATATTCCAGCAATATCACGGCGGGTGACACCAGAAATGGGCTTCACACATTGTACCCATGTCGGGAATCGAACCCGGGTCTTCGGCGTGACGAGCGAACGCTTTAACCACTAGGCTACCCGACCGCCCCTGGTCCATAGGACAGGCATAGAAGAGACATAACTCGTAATAGCCTGGGAGCGCTAGGATCGAGCCCAGGAATTCCAGCCTAGTTTGGCAAGGGTGGAAACTTGACTTTTAAAGTCAGTTAACCCACTTGCCTCGGGAAGATGGGAAGGAGCTTGCATGGCCAGTGGTCAGTGCAGGCTGACAATTCTTGCATTACTTCCTGGTACATAGAGGCCATGTTAACTGGGAAGGATTGCTTTTGATTTGTTACGTTGTGGCCGGTGTTGAAAATGTTCAAATCACAGATCATCTCTTAAAAGTGTAGTGAGTATAACAGAAATGTTAGGAAGTAAATTTCATACTTTTTGTTAAATGGATGTTTCGTACATTGTGGGAGTGAGTGGGAAGAAAGGATCCAGTACAAGTTTTCTCAATGTTCTACTGGAACAACAAACATGTGATACAGTATCTCACCTTCTACATTCTCCTCCAAGGACTCGGGGTCATCAGCTGCCAGGGCGGCCAGCTTGCTCAGGCTTAGCAGAGTCTGTAACAAACCATAGCAACCTGGCTCAGCCATACAGATGCTGAATACACAGATGGACATGTAGCTGACTCAGCCATACAGATGCTGAATCAACAGATGGACATATAGCTGTCTCAGCCATACAGATACTGAATCAACAGATGGACATATAGCTGACTCAGCCATACAGATACTGAATCAACAGATGGACATATAGCTGACTCAGCCATACAGATACTGAATCAACAGATGGACATATAGCTGTCTCAGCCATACAGATACTGAATCAACAGATGGACATATAGCTGACTCAGCCATACAGATACTGAATCAACAGATGGACATAGAGCTGACTCAGCCATACAGATGGACATATTGCTGACTCAGCCATACAGATACTGAATCAACAGATGGACATATAGCTGACTCAGCCATACAGGTACTGAATCAACAGATGGACATAGAGCTGACTCAGCCATACAGATGGACATATAGCTGACTCAGCCATACAGATACTGAATCAACAGATGGACATATAGCTGACTCAGCCATACAGATGCTGAATCAACAGATGGACATATAGCTGTCTCAGCCATACAGATACTGAATCATCAGATGGACATATAGCTGACTCAGCCATACAGATGCTGAATCAACAGATGGACATATAGCTGACTCAGCCATACAGATACTGAATCAACAGATGGACATATAGCTGTCTCAGCCATACAGATGGACATATAGCTGACTCAGCCATACAGATGCTGAATCAACAGATGGACATATAGCTGACTCAGCCATACAGATGGACATATAGCTGACTCAGCCATACAGATGCTGAATCAACAGATGGACATATAGCTGTCTCAGCCATACAGATGCTGAATCAACAGATGGACACATAGCTGACTCAGCCATACAGATACTGAATCAACAGATGGACATATAGCTGACTCAGCCATACAGATACTGAATCAACAGATGGACACATAGCTGACTCAGCCATACAGATACTGAATCAACAGATGGACATATAGCTGACTCAGCCATACAGATGGACATATAGCTGACTCAGCCATACAGATGCTGAATCAACAGATGGACATATAGCTGTCTCAGCCATACAGATACTGAATCAACAGATGGACATATAGCTGTCTCAGCCATACAGATACTGAATCAACAGATGGACATATAGCTGACCCAGCCATACAGATGCTGAATCAACAGATGGACATATAGCTGACTCAGCCATATGTACCTTGTACCATATGGATCAAGCACTTCATATGGAAGTACTAGGTAGCACAGGGTCAATTTTAACATGACTTGAAAAATACAGAGGCATGTTAATCCAAATTTGACATTATCATCAAAATAGGTTACATCTAGTGTATGCACTGAGATACATTAAAATAGTCATAAGGCTGCCATCAATTATCAAAATGTTGCTAGGTTTATGAATTTGTCATGGATATTTCCTGCACACATTTAGAGAAACATGACGACTTTACCAAACAGCTCAGCTGGATTCTATTTTCATAATTAGAGCCTCTTACAGTGAATTACACTATTCTAGTGTTGTCTCATTGTGGACCTGCAAAGTTTACAGCAATTACATTCTCTACAGTTACGGAAGTCATCTACTAAAGTGTGAGAAATCACAATGATATTAAGGGGATAACGACACACTACCTTCTTCTTTGCTAGGAAAGCTGTTTCTCCTTGAGCCAAATCAAACAATGTTTCGTGCGCCTGTAATGACAAATAATGATCACAAGAAAGCTCTTCACAGAAAAGAGAGTGCACTAAAATAGAAGTCTCTGTCTCCAGACTCATTACTAAAGCTTTCAGCAAATTCCATGACTGTAATAGCCAAGAAAAAGAACGTGTGTGAAAAAAGAGGAAGTAACCATTTCAGGAGTGAGTGAGTGAGTTTGGTTTTATACCACATTTAGCAATATTCCAGCAATATCAAGGCTGGGAACAGCAGAAATGGGCTTCACATGTTGTACCCATGTGGGGAATCGAACCCAGGTCTTCGTCGTGTTGGGCAAATGCTTTAACCACTAGGCTACCCCACCACCACCCATTTCAGGGGGTCTTGGTAATAGTGGAATATCATTGGCTTGTAGAAGACACACAGAAACTGTCTACCACAGAGATGCCAGCTCTAATTGAAGATTTGAAGCAATTAGTGGGGTAAGAAAGCTTAATTTCATGTGAAAAAGATATTGTTTGTTTGTTGTTTAATGCTGCACTCAGCAATATTCCAGCCATATGACAGTGGTCTGTAAATGATCGAGTCTGGACCTGACAATCCAGTGACTGACATCATCAGAAATCGATCCACACAATATTGGATAAGAAGACATGCATCAATCAGTCAGCGAGCCTGACCACCCGATCCCGTTAGTCACGTCTTACAACAAGCATAGTCACCTTTTACAGCAAGCATGGGTTGCTGAAGACCTATTCTACCCCGGATGTTCACGGGTCATGTGAAAAAGAGAAATGTTAACAGTGCTATGATGTGGGTTTGGGGCTTATCGGTAAACACATCAAATTAACACAAATCTTAAAACCCTGGACAAGTAGACAGTGTACTTATCCAGAGACAAATGGCTACCTTTAAGATCACCACACCCCTGATGTTACTGACCTTATCAAAGTTGTTGGTGCCGATGTCGTGCAGCCAGCTAAGGTACCTGGTGTTGTCAGAGTTAAGGAACTGACTGAGGTCGGAGTCGGTGCCGATAGGCTGGGACAGGAGGCGGCCACGCTTGCCTGCAACACACACACAGACAGTCAGCCTGCTTCCTGGCCTGTGTCGACACGGAGAACCAACATGGAGAACCAATGGAGAACCGACATGGAGGACCAACATGGAGAACCAACACGGAGAACCAACACGGAGAACCGACACGGAGAACCGACACGGAGAACCGACATGGAGAACCGACATGGAGAACCAACATGGAGAACCAACATGGAGAACCAACATGGAGAACCAACGGAGAACCAACATGGAGAACCGACACGGAGAACCAACATGGAGAACCGACACGGGGAGAACCGACACGGGGAGAACCAACGGAGAACCGACAAGGAGAACCAACACGGAGAACCAACACGGAGAACCAACGGAGAACCAACGGAGAACCGACAAGGAGAACCAACGGAGAACTGACAAGGAGAACCAACACGGAGAACCAACATGGAGAACCAACACGGAGAACCAACACGGAGAACCAACGGAGAACTGATAAGGAGAACTAATATGGAGAACTAATATGGAGAACCAACATGGAGAACCAACGGAGAACCAACATGGAGAACCAACATGGAGAACCAACACGGAGAACCAACATGGAGAACCAACATGGAGGAACATTCAGTACTGGGTGAGGAAACTAAGTTAAACTATTCTGTGAGTTCTCAAAGAGATTCCAATCTCACCAATACAGAGGCAGACAATACAAGTATGAGAAGTCAAACAAATCAAATTGTTTACAGTTCAACTAAACATGTCAACCGTATTGATGATATTCTAACACCAAACCTAGACCATATTCAGGACAACTTTCAGTGTATACTTCTGCCCAAGATCTATATGGACATGTACTGGCAGTCAAGTTGAAACCGTTCGAATAGATCTGTGTTATGTTAAAACTCCTCTGTTATATTGGCAATATATCCCCAGCAGCAAGATGTGGAGTGAGGGAGTGAATTAAAACTAAAAGTCAATCTGGCAATATTTCAGCCATATTGTGACTAGAGCATTTGCAAACTTCACATCAACAAAACAAATCAAGCCAACAAATGCAGTAAAACAACAAGTAACATCGAACTGTGGAACTGTGCCAACATCAAACTGTGGAACTGTGCCAACATCAAACAGTTGATTGCATCATCTACGTATTGATGGACAAATACAACATCATATCAATCATAAACTTAAATGTTTCGTTAACAACCGACAAGTCCCTTGAACCGTTTACGGAACACTGCAATGTACATGATATTGACAGGTGTACATGTCTCACGACTCACTTTACACAGGACACTGATCTGCCCAATAACTCAGTAAGTGATACTGTAACATGTCAATCTTCAGGTTCACAACTTCATTATTAAATGTATCAAGCATTACAATTTACTGTCAAGTTAAGGATGTCTCTCATGTGAAATCAACACAATCAACAACATAATAATAAGAAGAAGAGGGAGAAGAAGAGGGAGAAGAAGAGGGATAAGGAGAAGAGGGAGAAGAAGAGGAAGAAGAGGGAGGAGAAGAGGGAGAAGAAGAGGAAGATGGAGGAAGAGAAGCTGAAGAGGGAGAAGAAGGAGCAGGAGAAGGAGGAGAAGAAGAAGAGTGAGAAGAAGAAGAGGGAGAAGAAGCAGAAGAGGGAGAATGAGGAGGAGGAGAAGGAGGAGGAGAAGAAGAGGGAGGAGCAGAAGGAGAAGAAAAGAAGAAGAAGAGGGAGAAGAAGAAGGAGAAGATTTATAACAACACACCAGTAATTTGACATGTCATGTTACTATATATATATGTACTAAATAGGTGAGGTAAGGTAAGGTAAGGTGGGGTGAAATGTGATTTAACGACTTATTTATGCACTCATTTAAGCTATTGTTTATTTGTTGTATTAAGCCACACTGGTAACAGCAAAACCAGTGGTTAATAGCAGGAGCACCAATGCTGTCATCAGGGTACAATGGCACCCACTCACTTCGCCACACATCTAGAGCAGTTGATCCAAGGTACATTCCTAATGAGAACGAGGCCATTCTAGGGTGAGTTTCATGTTGGAGTGAGTGTGAGTATGGTTTTACGCCACTTTTAGCAATATTCCAGCAATATCATGGCGGGGGACACCAGAAATGGGCTTCACACATTGTACCCATGTCGGGAATCGAACCCAGGTCTTTGGCATGACGAGCGAACGCCTTAACCACAAGGCTACCCGACTGCCAGTTTCATGCTGGAAGTCAGAAGGCAGAACTTACCTTCCTTCATGTACCAGTGGAAGAGGAAGTTGGAGAAACCCTGCAAGCAATACAGAGAACCATGTACACACTGCTCTGGTTAGGGAACATTTTTAAACTTAACATAAGTTAGTTCAGTAAAAATGTTGATATCCTCAGAGGGATAGTGTTTGACTGTTGCCAAAGGAATCCTACTTCGTAAAATTATTCATAAAGCTGGTGCAGACTGACATTTAGTCACAGAAATAAAGTTCTTATTCAAAAGTATATCTACAAAATATAAAGTAAAATCCAAATGGAACCCATAACAATGCTTAATTTTTAGAGCTGAGGCAATCAAGACTTGAGTTGGATTCAATTTTGATTTATTCACTAGGGTCTGGGAGACAGACTGAAGCTGAGGCTGAGGATGGAATAAAATCCACTTGTGATCATTCCTAATCATTATCCAATGTAATGGAACTATAACTCTAAAGAAAAAATACTCTGCCTGCCCAAATTGGATTGCTTCCTTTATCCTAATGATTCAAACAATTTTAATGTTATCCCAATTCATCCAAACCTCATTCTTGTCACTATACACATCTATAAATTCCACACCAACTTCACTCTTCAATAGTTGGTATACATACTTTGTCTGCAAACTGCTGTGTGTAACGCTGAAGCCTCTCCTCATTCTTCGTAAGTTCACAAATCTTTACCAAATTTTCAAAATCGAAGTATTTTTCAGCCAGAGTGGCAGCTCTCTCGTACTGTTCATGGTCCACTGAAACAAGTACAACCATGGCAATCATAACTGCCGCATAGTGATTCCACAACTGAATACATCTGAACAAAGACGGCCAGTATAGATGTCTTCAGCATGTTCAGAGCTTCCAATAATGTTTCTTTAAGTGAACGACTTTTACAAAACACTTTGAGTCAGGAACTAGCACATTATGCAGCTATTGCATCACACAAGGCACCAATATACAGGGAGACAAGAATCAATCACTTTCCAGGTGCTTTTGTCTGGACGACTTAAAGCATATATGTAATACCAGTTTTAGAAATGATGATACTGGAACGTCTTTCAATGTACCCCTGAGATTAATGTACAAGGCCCCCAGTACACTTGACATGAATCTACAGTCCTAAATACACCCAACATGCATCTACACGGTCCCAAATACACCCAACATGAACCTACACGGTCCCAAATACACCCAACATGCATCTACACGGTCCCAAATACACCCAACATGAACCTACACGGTCCCAAATACACCCAACATGAACCTACATGGTCCCAAATACACCCAACATGAACCTACATGGTCCCAAATACACCCAACATGAACCTACACAGTCCCAAATACACCCAACATGAACCTACTCGGTCCCAAATACACCCAACATGAACCTACATGGTCCCAAATACACCCAACATGAACCTACACAGTCCCAAATATACCCAACATGAACCTACTCGGTCCCAAATACACCCAACATGAACCTACATGGTCCCAAATACACCCAACATGAACCTACACAGTCCCAAATACACCCAACATGCATCTACACAGTCCCAAATACACCCAACATGCATCTACACAGTCCCAAATATACCCAACATGAACCTACTCGGTCCCAAATACACCCAACATGAACCTACATGGTCCCAAATACACCCAACATGCATCTACACTGTCCCAAATACACCCAACATGCATCTACAGAGTCCCATATACACCCAACATGAACCTACACGGTCCCAAATACACCCAATATGAACCTACACGGTCCCAAATACACCCAACATGCATCTACACAGTCCCAAATACACCCAACATGCATCTACACGGTCCCAAATACACCCAACATGCATCTACAGTCCCAAATACACCCAACATGAACCTACACGGTCCCAAATACACCCAACATTTATCTACACAGTCCCAAATACACCCAACATGAATCTACACGGTCCCAAATACACCCAACATGAATCTACACAGTCCCAAATACACCCAACATGCATCTACACGGTCCTAAATACACCCAACATGCATCTACACAGTCCCAAATACACCCAACAGGTATCTACACAGTCCTAAATACACCCAACATGCATCTACACAGTCCCAAATACACCCAACATGTATCTACACAGTCCCAAATACACCCAACATGCATCTACACAGTCCCAAATACACCCAATATGAACCTACACGGTCCCAAATACACCCAACATGTATCTACACAGTCCCAAATACACCCAACATGTATCTACACAGTCCCAAATACACCCAACATGAACCTACACGGTCCTAAATACACCCAACATGAACCTACACGGTCCCAAATACACCCAACATGAACCTACATGGTCCCAAATACACCCAACATGAACCTACACAGTCCCAAATACACCCAACATGAATCTACAGTCCTAAATACACCCAACATGAACCTACAAGGTCCTAAATACACCCAACATGAACCTACAAGGTCCTAAATACACCCAACATGAATCTACACGGTCCCAAATACACCCAACATGAACGTACACAGTCCCAAATACATCCAACATGAATCTACACAGTCCCCCTGACATGAACCTACACGGTCCCAAATATACCCAACATGAATCTACACAGTCCCAAATACACCCAACATGAACCTTCACAGTCCCAAATACACCCAATATGAACCTACACGGTCCCAAATACACCCAACATGAACCTACACGGTCCCAAATACACCCAACAAATCCTACACGGTCCCAAATACACCCAACATGAACCTTCACAGTCCCAAATACACCCAACATGAACCTACACGGTCTCAAATACACCCAACATGAACCTACACGGTCCCAAATACACTCAACAAATCCTACACGGTCCCAAATACACCCAACATGAACCTTCACAGTCCCAAATACACCCAATATGAACCTACACGGTCCCAAATACACCCAACATGAACCTACACGGTCCCAAATACACCCAACAAATCCTACACGGTCCCAAATACATCCAATATGAACCTTCAAGGTGCCCGGTTACCCTGACAAGAATCTACAAGGTGCCCCGTTACCCTGACATGAATCTACAAGGTGCCCCGTTACCCTGACATGAATCTACAAGGTGCCCCGTTACCCTGACATGAACCTACAAGGTGCCCCGTTACCCTGACATGAATCTACAAGGTGCCCCGTTACCCTGACATGAACCTACACGGTGCCCCGTTACCCTGACATGAACCTACAAGGTGCCCCGTTACCCTGACATGAATCTACAAGGTGCCCCGTTACCCTGACATGAACCTACAAGGTGCCCCGTTACCCTGACATGAACCTACAAGGTGCCCCGTTACCCTGACATGAACCTACAAGGTGCCCCGTTACCCTGACATGAAGTGAGACATACTGAGTGGGGAGATGAGTTTGTCTCGCTCCTGTTCATATTTGCGATGCAGCTGGTTGTACTGGTCCTGTCTGCGGGGACACTGCTGCAGCGACACCAGCTGACTCTTGTAGCCGTCCAGGAGGACGTCCGCCAGCCCCAGCAGCTGCTGGAACAACACACCCTGCGTCTCGATGTCGCGCGCCTCCGGCACTGCACTCTCTATCGTCAGCATGTACTGGAGGAGCAATACAAAAACACTCTTAGTAGACAGTAATACTCTCAGTAGACAACACTCTTAGTAGACAGTAATACTCTCAGTAGACAACACTCTCAGTAGACAGTAATACTCTCAGTAGACAACACTCTTAGTAGACAGCAATACTCTCAGTAGACAACACTCTCAGTAGACAGTAATACTCTCAGTAGACAACATTCTCAGTAGACAGTAATACTCTCAGTAGACAACACTCTCAGTAGACAGTAATACTCTCAGTAGACAACACTCTCAGTAGACAGTAATACTCTCAGTAGACAACATTCTCAGTAGACAGTACTCTTAGGAGACAATAACACTCAGTAGACAACACTCTCAGTAGACAATACTAATTTCAGCAGACAACTCTCAGTGGACAACTCTCTTAGCAGACAATAATACTCTCAGTAGACAATAATACTCTCAGTAGACAATAACACTCTCAGTAGACAATAACACTCTCAGCAGACAATAATGCTCTCAGCAGACAATAACACTCTCAGTAGACAATAACACTCTCAGTAGACAATACACTCAGTAGACAATACACTCAGTAGACAATACACTCAGTAGACAACTAGAACTTCTCAGAATCTAATTTTCCGGCCACAAGTTTGCAGCAAATGTCAGTAACAAATACGCAAATGGAGTAGAATAATTCACATTTCTCATTGTAACTAATGTGACGTGCCTTCTATTTCATTGATAACAGGACCAATATAGAGGAGTGAGTGAGTGAGTATGATTTTACGCCGCTTTTAGCAATATTCCAGCAATATCACGGCGGGGATCACCAGAAATGGGCTTCACACATTGTACCCATGTCGGGATTCGAACCCGGGTCTTCGGCGTGACGAGCGAACGCTTTAACCACTAGGCTACCCGACCGCCCCCCCAATATAGAGGAAGGTGCTTTAATGTTCAATTTTACATCATTGCATTGAAAGATATCTTAAAATATATAAAAATTCCTCTTAAATTAGTAATATACAAACTCCCAATTGTGAACAACATAATTTCTTTACCAACTTGCCCGCTGTGGGCACTTGGTTTAGGATCATAGATAAATCCATGATCCTAAAACATATAAAATATCACAGGGACATCCTAGCCAAGATACATCCTTGTTAAGATCTGACATTAACAAAAATAGAATTCATATTCAAAGAGACTTGCTGGTTGATCTGTATAGACACTGACCTGTCTGGTGAGCATGGTGCGGATGCCGCGACTGCCACCTGCTGACGTCCAGGGTATGTACTCCAGCTGTCTGTCTGCACCCCCTTGGAACACCCCGGCCCGGGACTGGCGGTACTGCAGGCCACTGTGAAGCAGACCCTGCAGGCCAACAACAGAGTGTTACTCAGGTTTCCACCCTCATGTCTTGTATTTATATGTCATCTTCCCGAGGTAAGGGTGAGGTGAGGTGAAATGGGGTTTAACGTCGTGGCCAAGATTATTGCACTTATATAGCGACGTGCATGCACGTGTGCGTGTTTGTGTGGCTGCTTGTACTAGTCTGGACTGATGCCGATTTATAGTGCTAGCTCACTGAGATACCATGCCGCAGTTTAACATGAATACCCCACTCAGACACAGTATACTGACTCCGAGCCGACCAGTCCTTGTTTTAGCCCCCAAATGCCAAGCGCCAGACAGGGTAACAACAAGTACCATCTTTAAACGTCTTTTGGTATCACGTGGCCGGGGATCGAACCCCGGACCTTCCACTCTCCGGGCGAACGCTCTACCACTAGACCACGGAGGCGGTCCTGAGGTAAGGGAGCTAACTGACCATAAAAGTCTCTACCCTTGCCGAAATAATCTGGAATTTCAGGGCTTGATCGTAGCGCCACCAGTGGTGATTATGAGTTATGTCCCTTCTATGTCCCTCCTACTGACCAATTAGATTCCATGTCTCATATCACTTGAATTTGCTTCAAACAAAACTTGACACTGCTAACAGTAAATCGTCAGTGTGCCAGGTATTTGGCCATCCTGTCTATGAAAAACATGGCTTATGCACCACAGATTAAGACCACATGCAAGTATCGTGATCCTTTTGGATCGTGAGCAAGGTATCGTGATACGCATCGGATCGAATAGTTGGGAGTATCGTGTGCCCTAATAGATACATACCTCCAGTATTCCATTGACTGAGGACACAATCATCACACACTGTTTCGGAGACAGGTCCGAAGACAGGCTCTCGTCTTCATATTCCAACAATGCCGAGACTATTTCTGGGACCCTTGATACCTAAATTAGGGAAAAGTTTATTAGACCTAAACAGACTGAATAAACTATAACAGCATTAGAAACCAGACCTAGTCCTGTACTCCCAACCATTACCTATGGTGTGGGTATTCATAGGACTAGTGAAAAATACTGGTGGAAATTTGGAATGAAATATAGATCCTTATATCATAAAGACAGGTTTGGAGTTTGTGTCTACAGTTAAAAGCGAAAGTGAAACACAATCTTTTAGCAATCTTCTTTGCATTGTGATGCATCCTCATTATCCATTATCATATCTCCATGTCAGAATGATGAGATCTGACTGGACCACGTGATCTTGATAAAATACCTTATGATACCTCCATGTCAGAATGATGAGATCTGATTGGACCACGTGATCTTGATAAAATACCTTATGATACCTCCATGTCAGAATGATGAGATCTGATTGGTCCACATGTTCTTGATAAAATACTGTGAAACCTGCCTTGAGGGTAATTCATTTCTCAGCAGGGGAATAAATCTCTTATACCCCACCACGAGCAAGACAGGTTGCACATGGACTTCTGAGAGACAGAATAAATCCCTTATAGCAACGCTTCAAAGCAAAAAGCTGGACGCTTTTTTTGAGTCAATGGAGGTCATGTGACTTAGTAATAGTTAACCTCAGCTCAATCAAACAGCTGTTTTCTATCAATTTTGAATTTGTATTTATTCATTTACAATGTGACATGAAAACATGTCGGTAAGATAAATTCGTTGCAGCAGGATCACTCGGTGTACATGAGGTTTTATGTGTCTCTCGTTAGGTTTTATAAACCAACAGGTTTTATAAACCTAACGCGAGACTCATAAGACCCCATCAGAGCTCCAGATAAACTTTTGGTGTTGTGGGTATTTTACCCATGCATTTTAAAATCATTGGGTATCAGTAATTCTGTCTGGGTATTCAAATTTTTGTTACCCACTAGTTTTTACACATGTGGGTATCTAAGTTAAATATTTCAAAACACTATTCCTCTAGTCCCTGCAAACTGGTGTCGTGTAGGTTCGAGAGCTTTATAGGACTCAAAAATACCATGATACTTCCACAAGAAAGTGTGATGGCAAATGATCATGATGTAACTGTCATCGTGGAGTTTGGCAAGGTTGACAGAATGCCCGTTTATAATTTCAAAAATAAGTTGCTGATTTGCTAATCGAATACGCAGGGTTACTTCACAATATTTTGATGATACGCACAAGTTTTATTTTTGTAGCTTATCTGTTATGTTCGTTGCGTATTTGATACGCTTGGATTTTATTTTACTGCATATTTCTGCATTTCTGATGCGTATTTTATGCAGATACGCAGCTTATCTGGAGCTCTGCCCCTTGTACCCCACGTTATCCTGCTACAACAAATTATATAGTACAACAAATCCCCATTCAATTATGATAAATACCTTGGACTCTTTTGACACCAAAAGCTTTGTTGACTATTAAGATGAAAAGGGTGTCAATGCTACTGGGTGTTCCAGTTGTCATGGAGACAGTACACAACAAGATGAGTCACGTATTGGAGCAATTGCTGCTTGTTTCAATTAAGAAAAAACAGTGCAATTTGAATCAACAGCTATTCATGGAGTTGTGCATCTGAATCGTACTCAGTATGAAGCAATGGTGGCGAATATAGAATGGAGATAACAAACTGGATGATCAAGGATGATGATGATGCTACGCTGTGAACAACTCCCTATACTACCAACCTCTCTGTAGAAGACGTCTGCTGGGGATAGGCCGGCAGGGATGTTGGAATCTCGCATGGACTCCAGCACTCGTCGGATACAGTTGTCTACAATTGCACTTTGGCTGGACATAAATGAACACATTTCAGACACATCATCAGACATTTTATTAGACAGCCTGTGGAATCATAACAATAATGACATGGGCACTGTAGCTCACCTGAACATGTAGTCAACGGTTAAAAATGTCAACAAAAACAAATATTTATAAAAACTTACAGTAAACATTGATATTCAAATATTTTCTGTATGATTACTGAGGACTAAAAACTAACACTCAAATCTGAAGATCTGAACAAAATTTGATGTCATCATAAGAAAATTGCAAAAGAGAAGAAGATGTCTAAAGAGCCAGTTTGCCTTTGAGGTCAAAACTAGGTCAAAATTAAATATTGCAAAATATGGAACATTTATATTGAGTGCCAAAAATACAAAAGACGTGTGCTTTCACAATAAGACTTGTGAGGTGGCCACATAGAAAATCGGATAAAGCATGGTCAAAGTGCAGAGGTCAAATCAAGGTCAAAATTTAAAATATCGTGAAAAACAGAACCTATCTGTTGATCCCCACTACTAACTTCACAACTACCATATTTCATTAAAATTTGAACAGAAATTGCTAAGTAATGGCTAATAAGGTTGACAAATCAGATTCAGACCTCTTGAACAACTTGGGCTGTCAAGATTGTGGAACGAGAATTTAAATATTGAGTTCCGTGGTCCAGTGGTTTCTGAGAAGATTTTTACACTGGACACCCGGGCCCACTTGCACAAAGCGACCTTAGCGCTAAAATGATCTTAACTCCCATACTTTAACATAGGCTTACAATAGTCTTAGCGCTAGGATCGTTTTGTGCAAGTGGATGACGGTCAAGCAGGTCACCACATCAGCCATCTTCCCCAATGTAGCTAGCACTCAACTGAGTGGCTATGAACGTTTTTTATAGGTGTCAGGTGCGGTCGGGTAGCCTAGGGTTAAAGCATTCGCTTGTCACGCTGAAGACCCGGCTTCGATTCCTGTGTGAAGCCCATTTCTGGTGTTCCCCTGATATCGCTGGAATATTACTTAAAGCGGCATAAAAACGTACTCACTCACTCACTCAATTATAGGTGTCAGGCAAGTAGGCCATTAACACCTTGCCCTTAATACAATTTGGATAAAAGTCAAGAAATAGGGCTAAATATCATAAATAGAGAAACATCATATGTTTTAATCATGTTAATCATGTTAATAGAATGAGTCAGATTTTATGCTGCTTATATATTCCAAGCGATATTCAGCGATATCACGACAGGGGATACCAGAAATAGGCTTCACACAGTGTACCCATGTGTACCCAACCCAGGTCTTCAGCGTGACCCTGTGCTTTAACAGAGGCATGAATTACATCTGGAACTTCCTGGCCAACAATAACCCTAGAACATCCTAGACCAGCCAATGACATCAATACTCAGAAAACTCATGGACTCAACCATACCATTACACAGATCTTTTTGGACAGTGCAGCAAATAAGGCGGTGAGAGTTAGTTCCCCTTATACAAAGAGGTGCATGCTCCTTCCCAGCGCGTGACACCTTCGTTACACTCTCGGTAACATCGCTGCCACCAGTGTGGGCGCGGCCATTTCAAGAATCTTGAAATTGGCCCTCCAACCCCATATGTAGTAACGTTTATACTTTTGTTTATGTCTTTGGGAATGCCATCATATTTCAATTTGAAAAGGTTTACGACTGACCATGTTTTTCAGATGAATTTACTTTGTTGTTTTGATAATCAGATTGGTTCGAGATTGCAGATTAACGGAAAATCAACCAACTTCTCCCTTACATTCTTACTATATCAATAACACGATAGTTTTAATGAAACAGAAATTCAAATTGACAAACGAAGAAAGTAATTTAGCAGCGATAAGTGTATTCGGCGTCACTACAGTCGTCACTTGCTTGTAAACATAACGGTCCTTCGGTTGCGAGTTCAACTCCAAGCATGGTTGTGGCCACCTATTCACAGTGGGGAGTTTTGACTGGTGGCAGCGATAGTATAGAGAGCTCCGGGAACGTACTATCGCTGTGAGGAGCTTGCCATCTTCCCAAGGCAAGGGAGTTAACTGACTATACAAGTTTAGTCTCCACTAGGGCTGGGACAGGAAACTTGGGTACCCGAGTCAGGTGGGTACTGAGTAAGGCCTGGGTACCCACAGGACTACCCGGACCTGTGGTTAGTCACGTGATCATATTGTTTAATGGCAAAAATTATCTGGAACTCTATGGTTACACTATAAGTGATAAATGTTCACATTTCTTTCTGACTTTGCACACATTCCTTCTGACATTATATGTTTGCATTATGATAAAACATCAGTCAACTTCAGTGTATGCATGACCAGATCGGTTTATACGTGTATCTAAATTATTTTGACAGGAGTACGGTCAAACTATTCCCAATCGGACATGTTTTCCCTATCTCTTGAGATCTACAGCAGGTCCCCTGGTAGGGTCGGGTAATAGGGGGTTGGGTACCCGGGTAGTAAATTTGGACTCGTCCCAGCCCTAGTCTCCACCCTTGCCGAACTAGGCTGGTATTATGGAGTTACATTTTGGCCGGACTAACGAGTTGATGCTTAGTCCCATCAAAATCGCGGAGCGAAATTGAAATCCGGTTTGTATGCACATTTCGGACGTTTGCCGGATTTGCAAAGCATACGTACTGCCAAATCAGCATTTTCAAATCTTTCATGTTTTTAATCCTGGTGCTCATGAGATTTGATGCACTTCGCAAAGTAAGACATATTATATTACAATACAGATTTTGGTAATCGATCCGATCATCTTGACTGGGTGTCGCCATTTTGTTTGAAGCAAATGCATGTGATATGAGGTGGAATCTGATTGGTCAATATGCGTATGACTTCAAGTATTTCGATCAAAGAATCCCTCAGGAATAATTTTCGATTTTACTTATGTATTGCATCTTCAAATATACCCTAGATACGGTTAATGTGTTCATACTGTATTAATACTGTAAGTCCTGATGTGTTTAAAATAGCATCTGGTTGGTTGGTTGGTTTGTTGTTTTACACCGCACTCAGCAATATTCCAGCTATATGATGGCGGAGTGTAAGTAATCCAGTCTGGACCAGACAATCCAGTAATTGATATCATGAGCATCGATCCACGCAATTGGGATCGATGACATGCATCAACCAAGTCAGGGAGGCTGACCACCCGATCCCGTTAGTCGCCTCTTACGACAAGCATGGGTTGCTGAAGGCCTATTCTACCCCGGATCTTCATGGGTCAAATAGCATCTGGACAATATATGACATGGGGAAAATGTGAATCATTACGCACCGAGTTGACAATTATTTAAGGTATGCCCGTTTGTGCTTAGATGGAACCCAGTCGCAAAAATGGTCACGAGAGGGGCACGAGTCGCTATTCGGCTTGTCCCGGAATAACGCGAATTGGTCCAGAATGAGGGCTATGCCTCGGTATAAATACTGTTACATTGTATGAGCTGTACATACTCGCTGTGCAGTTCTCTCAGTCCAACAGCAGCTGCAACCTTCTCTGCATGTTCACACAGCAACAGTTGGGTGGACATCATCGTGTCGCGAACAGACACTGCCTTCAACTGACACAGCAGGAAACAAATTAATTGAATAGGACAATAGAACTTTGTGGGGAGAATGTTGCATAGCATTATGAATTAAAGAAAGTGGAGATGTGGAGATGTGAAGAATTGGGAAACACTGCTGTGCAGAAGAATCCTGCATTTCAGTTGTTATTCTTCCTGTGTGGTATTGTCTATGATTTGGTGGCTTTAAGTATGACTGAATGTGGGAATTCCTGCACTGTAGGTACATGGTAGGGTGACAATTACATTCATTCACTGTGTCAGTCCTTACCACAACAGTGAACAAATCACTTAGCCTAGCTTCTAGACTTGTCTCCACATGTGTGTCCCCAACTCTCCCTGTCCCCCAATTCTGCCTGTCCCTCAACTCAGCCTGTCCCCCAACTCCGCCTGTCCTCAACTCAGCCTGTCCTCAACTCAGCCTGTCCCCCAACTCTACCTTGTCCCCTAACGCAGCCTGTCCCCCAACGCAGTCTGTCCCCCAACGCAGCCAGTCCCAACTCAGCCAGTCCCCAACTCAGCCTGTCCCCCAACTCAGCCTGTCCCCCAACTCAGCCTGTCCCCCAACTCAGCCTGTCCCCCAACTCAGCCTGTCCCCCAACGCAGTCTGTCCCCCAACTCAGCCAGTCCCCCAACTCAGCCTGTCCCCCAACTCAGCCTGTCCCCCAACTCAGCCTGTCCCCCAACTCAGCCTGTCCCTCAACTCAGCCTGTCCCCCAACTCAGCCTGTCCCTCAACTCCGCCTGTCCCCCAACTCAGCCTGTCCCTCAACTCAGCCTGTCCCTCAACTCCGCCTGTCCCCAACTCAGCCAGTCCCAACTCCGCCTGTCCCCAACTCCGCCTGTCCCTCAACTCAGCCTGTCCCCCAACTCAGCCTGTCCCTCAACTCCACCTGTCCCCAAACTCTGCCTGTCCCCAAACTCAGCCTGTCCCCAACTCAGCCTGTCCCCCAACTCAGCCTGTCCCCCAACTCTCACTGTCCCCAACTACGCCTGTCCCCAACTACGCCTGCCCCCTAACTCAGCCAGTCCACTAACTCACCCTGTCCCACAGTTCCAGGCGTTTCAGGAAGCTGATGAGGTATTCGTGAGCCTTCTCCTTGTCCTTCAGCTGCTGCAAGATGATCAGGGATGTCGTGCTGCCTGCAGAGTCTGTGACACCAACATACAGGAACATGTAAGCCAAGTCAGAGCCAGCAAAACAAGAGTAAGTGCACTCTTCCAAATATTTTAACTTTGCACTCAGCAATATTCCAGCTATATGACGCAGTGTGTAAATAATCAAGTCTGGACCAGACAATCTATAGATTAATATAGTGAGCAACGATCCACGCCATCAGAGGATGTTGACAGGCTATAGACAAAGTCACCTAGACCTGACTATTGGATCCTTTAAATCACCTCCTACAACCAGTAATGTTTGCTGGGGACACATACTAACCTCGAATCCCATCTGACTAACTTCAGGACCTGACTGAAACTCAAGTGTTTTTGAGCTACTTTGAAATGTGCAGAACAAGAAGGAATTGAAGCAGCTTCAGCTTACCATTTCTCAAGCTCTCCGCCCACCGGGGGTCAGATGTCGGGTAGTCATCGATGAGGTCGCGACTCAACATTGTCACCAGCTTATCCATCTCAGATGTGGCTTCCTCCTCAGCATCCGTTAAAGGGAACAGGTCACTGACGATCTTCTGAGCTTCAGGCTGGCACAGGGAGAGATGGATCAGAATGTCACACGGAGAGATGGATCAGAATGTCACATGGAGAGACGGTTCAGAATGTCACAGGGAGAGATGGATCAGAATGTCACACGGAGAGATGGTTCAGAATGTCACAGGGAGAGATGGATCAGAATGTCACAGGGAGAGATTGTTCAGAATGTCACAGGGAGAGATGGATCAGAATGTCACAGGGAGAGATGGATCAGAATGTCACAGGGAGAGATGGATCAGAATGTCACAGGGAGAGATGGTTCAGAATGTCACAGGGAGAGATGGTTCAGAATGTCACAGGGAGAGATGGTTCAGAATGTCACAGGGAGAGATGGTTCAGAACGTCACAGGGAGAGATGGTTCAGAATGTCACAGGGAGAAATGGATCAGAATGTCACACGGAGAGATGGTTTAGAATGTCACAGGGAGAGATGGTTCAGAATGTCACAGGGAGAGATGGATCAGAATGTCACAGCGAGAGATGGTTCAGAATGTCACAGGGAGAGATGGTTCAGAATGTCACACGGAGAGATGGTTCAGAATGTCACAGGGAGAGATGGATCAGAATGTCACAGGGAGAGATGGTTCAGAATGTCAGGGAGAGATGGATCAGAATGTCACAGGGAGAGATGTATCAGAATGTCACAGGGAGAGATGTATTAGAATGTCACAGGGAGAGATGGATCAGAATGTCACAGGGAGAAATGGTTCAGAATGTCACAGGGAGAGACATGTCACAGACTAGTTCAACAATCAATCATTACTGTGTCGCCGGCAGCCTTATTTCTACTTTTATCCATTGTAAGGGTGCTCCTCCACTGCATATAATGAGTTGTACGGTTATGTTTCATGTTACAGGCAAATAAATACATTTTAAAGAAACTCTGTCTTTGAATACTTGTCTCGGACGACTAGAAGCTTGAGTGAGTGAGTGAGTATGGTTTTACGCTGCTTTTAGTAATATTCCAGCAATATCACGACGGGGACACCAGAAATGAGCATCACACATTGTACCCATGTCGGGAATCGAACCCGGGTCTACTAGAAGCTTGAACCTGCGACAACTGAATAAAAGCATCAATGGCTGAATGGGCTTACCAAGTTGCCATTGAGAGAGTTGATAAATGCTGCCTTGAGTCGGGCTGACTTGTCATCACTGGCTCCCATCTCGGCAACTTGTGGTCGGCTGGTTGCTAACGTGGACTAAAACATAATCGGGGCAAAAATAGAAATACTGAATTCATCTTATTTCTTGCCTGAAAGCAGAATAATCAATATCGTGTAAGTTCGTATTGCTGATGCTCAAGTTTTATTGTTTTTTTGTTTGCTTGTTTAACGCCGGACTAAGCAATATTCCAGCTATATGGCGGCGGTCTGTAATTATTAAGTTTGGACCAGACAATCCAGTGATTGATATCATGAGCATTGATCCATGCATTTGGGATAAGATAGATCTATTTATCAACCAAGTCAGCTAGCCTGACCAACCGATCCTGTTAGTCGCCTCTTACAACAAGCATAGTCTCATTTCTCAGCCGCCGTCATATAGCTGGAATATTGCTGAGTGCGGCGTTCAACAACAAACCAACCATTTCTCAGCAAGCATGGGTTGCTGAAGACCAATTCTAACCCGGATCTTCATGGGTCAGATGCTCAAGTGAAACATCTATATTCATGAATATTGAGTGAGTGAGTATGGTTTTATGCCGCTTTTAGCAATATTCCAGCAATATCACGGCGGAGGACACCAGAAATGGGCTTCACACATTGTACCAATGTCGGGAATCGAACCCGGGTCTCGGCGTGACGAGCGAACGCTTTAACCACTAGGCTACCCGCCCCTCATGAATACTGGTATGATCCTAATGTAAGATTGTTGTCCAGGAGTCGGAGAGTATCAACTCGCTCTGTTTCCAGTACTTACAACTTCAGATCTGGAGAGAGCCTCTTGTGCTGATTCCTCCAGGATACTAAAGCAAAGAAACAGTGAAACACCACATGAGTGAGAGCAGTGGGTCTCAGATGTGTGTAAGGCATTGGCAAGTCAAGAACTCTTCTGGAAATTCTCCATCAACAACCAGATACTGTTGCCCTCACACTGTGGATTACCAGATCACAGGTCGTTAACTTAAGTGCCATTATATTTAGCATGTTTAGAGGTAACCTGAATCCTATGACATGAGTGAAGATAATGTTTTGTTTATTTGTTTGTTTGTTATTTAACGCCACACTCAGCAATATTCCAGCTATATGACGGAGGTCTGGAACATAATCGAGTCTGGACCACACAATCCAGTGATTGACATCATGAGCATCGATCCACGCAATTGGGATTGATGACATGTATCATGATGTATCAACCAAGTCAGCGAGTCTGACCACCCGATCCCGTGAGTCGCCTCTTACGACAAGCATAGTCGCCTTTTACAGCAAGTATGGGTTGCGGAGGACCTATTCTACCCCGGAATCTTCACGGGTCAGTGAAGATAATGAGTGTTGTGGAATAGGTTGAGTCCAAACTTTTGAAGCATTTAAGGAACTTTGGGGAATCTCTATCACACATCATTTACACAAGAAGAAATGAAACTTGTACGTGTAGTACAGTTACATGGATATTCCTATAGAAAACGAATCAAACCAAATCAATTAGTACTAAACCTAACACCACTATTATGAAATCAAAGCAGTCATTGTGATGCAACAGGTATGAAGTCACAGCCACAGACATAGAAGCGTCTTGAGTTGTATACTCCCCAGGGAGTTGAGAATGAAAATCAAGAGCACACTGATGCATTGACCGGAGTGATAATAATGTAGCACCATTAGCAAACTCTTGGTGGAATTTGCCGCATTATTGGCAATAGACATTATTATTAAGTGCCAAATTTCAAGTGCCTGTAATTTGTCATATACTATCTGAGTCAATTTCTATCATATTTTCTGACCAAAATATTGCCACAGATGCTCTAAATATTGAGTACAGTACAAGAATTGCTAGACGTGCTAACATTGCTTATGAAATATGGCAAAGTAGGTAACACACACATGAATGAGGTGAACGTTAGGGAAGAGTGACTTCTGGCAACATTTCGCTGCAGTGGTGCATCATGTCACAACTGTGTGGAGCTATAATCACAAGTTTAGCAGCTGACGACCAGTGTTCCTGCTAGCTTTTTAAACTCCCATTTCAGAGGACTGGCATCTCTAAAAAATAACTTCCCCCAATTTTTGTCAATCCCATCTTGGAACAGAAATAAAACCTTATGAAAATTACCTGGCTTTAATTCTTTCAACATTATGTTCAATGCACTGTATGTTAATGGCTGCCATATTCAATGACATTATCCCTGAAGTAACTAAGTTAGATCTACCCACCGTTCACACAAAGTTCAGTCACAATTTTCTCTTTTTTTTCCTTGGAATATTTCACTTTTGTTTGAGACAAAGTCAGTATAAATGGATATTTAACCTCAAAGAAAAGCGAAATGTTATTTCCTTGCACCAAAAATAGACAACGGGACTTTATTTGCCAGTCCACATGTACTGGCAGTCCCATAAACTACTGGTCCAAGCCGAATTTTACCAGTAATAAACTGGTTATAACCAGTAAACAGGAACACTGGGAGTTAAGATCCACTAAGTGGACATGACACACCACAGCAGCAAGTGCTGTCAGTGGCCACACATGTAAACACAATCTCATTAAAATCAGACCTTAGTTCTCGCTACCGCTAAACAAAGATCTGAAGACATCCCATTAGGGGTCACGTCAGAACCACCTTTCATCCGACCAATCAGAGCGTCGCTTACCAGATCATGAAAGTCACAGTCGGAATGTGATTTCTAATCATACAACCTCAAAAACTTTAACACGGGGTATTGTGAACGATAGTTACGGGTTAAACGACAGAATCCATACAATCTAGACCATCTATTAGCCATTCCAGAATGTTCTTTTGTTTAGGTTTCAAGTTTGTAATCGAGAATTTGTCAAAATATGTTTCGAAGCGTATTCGCCAATTTGAAATTAGTGCCGTAAAGGAGGAGAAAGCTGCCTTCTGATTGGTCATTCCATTGGTCAGTCAGAGTTGGCGCAAGGTCGGTCTGACGTGACCCGTTATGGGATGTCCTCAGATCTTTGTTTAGTGGTAGCGAGTGCTAAGATCTGATTTTAATGAAATTGACATGTAAACACTGACTCACTCAGTTGTGGCACAACTCACAACATGTGTTGCATTCTTCCACCATATCGCATTCAGCCATCCAGATCACTCACTCACTCTCATTACCTTTGTTCCAACTTGGCGGCCGAAGATAGACAGAAGAGGCCATGGGTGCTGGAGAAGAATACAGCTGTCTCACCATAGCGGCCTGGAGCAAGGGAGATAACAATGCAAACATTTAATCACTTAAACTGAAATTAAGGTTTCATTGTAAAATCATGAAATGTGTAAAATCATGAAATGTGTAAATATCTTTACCAGAGCTCCAGATTAGCTTTTGGTGTTGTGGGTATTTTACCCATGCATTTTAAAATCATTGGGTATCAGTATTTCTATCTGGGTATTCAAATTTCTGTTATCCACTAGTTTTTACACATATGGGTATTTAAGTTAAATATTTAAAAACACTATTCATCTAGTCCCTGTAAACTGGTGTCGTGTGGGTTCGAGAGCTTTATAGGACTCAAAAATACCACGATACTTCCACAAGAAAGTGTGATGGCATATGATCATGATGTAACTGTTATCGTGGAGTTTGGCAAGGTTGACGGAATGCCCGTTTATAATTTCAAAATAAGTTGCTGATTTGCTAATCGAATACGCAGGGTTACTTCACAATATTTTGATGATACTCACAAGTTTTATTTTTGTAGCGTATCTGTAATGTTTGTTGCGTAAATGATACGCTTGGATTTTGTTTTACTGCGTATTTCTGCATTTCTGATGTGTATTTTACGCAGATACACAGCCTATCTGGAGCTCTGTTTACACATCTATATTTACTGATTGAATGCAGGCATCACCTATACATAGTGAGTGAGTATGGTTTTATGCCGCTTTTAGCAATATTCCAGCAATACCATGGCGGGGGACACCAGAAATGGGCTTCACACATTGTACCCATGTCGGGAATCGAACCTGGGTCTTCGGCGTGACGAGCGAACGCTTTAACCACTAGGCTACCCGACCGCTCCTCACCTATACATAAACTCTACTGCAATGAATAATGCACAAGAGTGTTACGACTCATATATTGCAAGTGACACACTGTTGTGAGGTTAGTGCGCAAAATCCTTTCAAAACAAGTCCCTGATTACAAAATATCCACCAGACTGGATCCAAGGGAGTAAACTATATAAATACCCAAAGAAACCTTTCAAGTACCTACAGTATTCGACGTAATAAGCGCCCCGCTCTAATAAGCGCCCACGGTGATATTTGCTAATATACTGGCTATATATTATTTGTTCGCGTATAATACGCACTCATATGTTATATGCACCCTTAATTATGGGCAATTAAATTCCGGAAAAATATATCTGTCGCATATAAACATTTCAGGCTGTCAGCATAAACCACGAAATTTACCTTTCAACTTTTTATTTACCAAAATATTTGTAGAATTTTCCTATTCGGAATATTCTATAAGTAATACGTTACCACTGGGCTGCTGCTGTGGTAGATTTCGCTATAGCAGCAGTTGTGGGAGACAACAGCCTCGGTATAACAGTGGTAACGTATTACTTAATGTAATTATTCTAATAAGAGCCCCCTAATTCTAATTTTGAAAGCACCCTGGGCGCTTATTACGTCGAATACGGTAATGTGAATGATAACGTATATCAAACAAATCTGGGGCTCTGAATGAGGTGACCTTACCTGCTCCAAGAATCTGATCTCCAGTAGACTGCAGCTCCAGCCTGTCGCTCATGGAAACCCCTGTGAACACAAGTACTAGCTCAGTTAACCCACAGGGAACATCGCAAAGTTGGGCAGGTATTTGAGGTGAGTTAAAATAGGGTTTAACGTCACAGCCAAGATTATTGCACTTATACAGCGATGTGCATACACATGTGTGTGGCTGCTTGTACTAGTTCTGACTAATGCCAATATTATAGTGCAGTCACACTGAGATACCATGTAGCAGTTCAACATGAATATCCCAATCAGACACATTGTACCGACTCCGAGCTGACCAGTCCTTGTTTTGAGCCCTTAATGCCGAGCGCCTGCAGGGTAACAAGTACCATCTTGAAACGTCTTTTGGTATAACACGGCCGGGGATTGAACCCCGGACCTTCTGCTCTCCGGGTGGACGCCCTACTAATAGACCACAGAGGCGATCGGCGGGTATTTGATGTTGGGATTTAATTTATACTGCTCTGTTTGGAACATATTTAGTGAACATTATACTTTGAATTTGGAAAATACAGATTCTTACTAATTAATCAGAGGTTTCAAATCACAATAACCTCCTCTGACTGACTGCATCACAACAGAAGCTAATATTTATAAAAAAGAACTCTGCCAGTATTGTCATTTGTTGTTGTTGTTGGTTTGTTGTTTTATGCCGCACTCAGCAATATTCCAGCTATATGACGGCGGTCTGTAAATAATCGAGTCTGGACCAGACAATCCAGTGATTAATATCATGAGCATTGATCCGCGCAATTGGGATCGATGACATGCATCAACCAAGTCAGCGAGCCTGACCACCCGATCCCGTTAGTCGCCTTTTATGACAAGCATAGTCACCTTTTACGGCAAGCATGGGTTGCTGAAGACCTATTCTACCCTGGAATCTTCACGAGTCCAGTATTGTCATGCATCAATACAAAGAATTTGTGGCCAACATACCTTGTTTGGCAAAGATGACCTTCTTATCATACACATAGGCTGTAGAGTCAGGAACAAGCAGATGGAGGTCGAGCAGATCCATCTCCGTGTCCTCCTATAACAGACAGGGCGAACTCATTAAAGTCACGTCTGATACTCTGAAACCCTCTCTGACAAATCCTCTTTAGGATTGTGATGAAGAAAGCTGAGAGAACTTTAAGCACACAATTAAATTGAACAAGGTTATTGAGTCAATCAGATGTCAACTTTCTGTAATAGTTTGGTTTCAATTGATTTTCTGTCAGCTGAGCTAAAAACTTAATATTAACATCATTCCGAGATTTTCTAAACCTATGCTTTCAAGGCCCTACCTCATATCTCTCAGTGTGTTCCAGTGACATGAAGTCATCCAGTGCTGTTGGGGGCTCCTCGTCTTCTGTTGAAAGTGTTGCTGCAACAATGAGGAAGTTTGGCTAATGTTGCCAAGAATAATGTCTCATGTTTCCATAAACTTCTGAAAACAAGTTAAACACCCACAATTGGAGTGAGTATAAGTGAGTATGGTTTTTACACCGCTTTCAGCAATAATCCAGCAATATCACGGCGGGTATCATTGTACCCATGTTGGGAATCGAAAATGGGCAGGTCTTCGGTGTGATGAGCGAACGCTTTAACCACTAAGCTAACCCCCCTCCCCCCAAATAGAAAGGCCGTTTGCTGCAATACCCATTACCCATAAAGGTGAGTGAGTGAGTGAGTAGGGTTAAACACCACTTTTAACAGTATTCCAGTCATATGACTTTGGTGAAACACAGGCACAGGTATGGTGCTAACGAACCTAGAAACAATCATGGAGAGCAGGACTCAAACTCATGGTCATAGGTTTCTAGGGTGCCATATTATGTCATATTTTCAAATATCTGTAACATCACCCTTGGTGAAATCACCAGAAAATGTTGACTAATCATAAAATTGACACCATTGACATCGCAGCCGATGATGCAGGTTCGTCAAAATGACCTCTCGAACTGGTCGTCTGGCAAACACCTTCAGAACATAATCGTTTCCTCACGCTTGGTGCTATGTGGAAAAACCTGGCTACAGGCAAAGATGACTCTCCTGCATGCAGTCAGCCGATGGCTTTATTGCAATTGGCTTCCATCAGTCTTGGCATGTTTTTATCGGCACCTGCTGTAAGATTTTGATGGCAGTCAAATGAAAACCCGATGTTTTTATAGCCCAACAAGTGATGTTGCATGTGCATGTCATGCTGGTGTGTTTCAGCACCAGGCTCTCACGTGGTTGTGTTTCGGCGATTTTTCCATCTTTTCACAAATTTCTGCAGTAGCTAGTTCTTTCCACACAAATCAATCCCAATCCATGCAGAAATGACTATATGAGTAGTATACTATTCACAAAACATACGGGGGCACAGGTGGCCCAGTCATCTAAGGCGCCGTGATTCGCTGTGCGGAGTTGCGTCCCTTGGGCACGCCAGAAACCTATGATTGTGGGTTTTTATCCCGGTTCGCCCCGATTATGTTTCTAGGTTTGTCAGCACCATACCCGTGCTCATGGATTTCACCGAAGTGGTAAACGTCCTTGACGCGCATCAATTCGGGCTTTCCTCCCACAGTAAGCTGACACGCTGAGATATAACTGTAATACTGTTAAAAGCGTTGATAAACCCAACTCACTCACAAAACATCCATACAGACTCACCAAGGGCATAGTGGACAACACTGTCGGTCTCTAGGTTGACCCCCGCTCCCAGCAGCATCACCCCATCACTGAAACACACAATAGAGGTCAGCAACCACAGAAGAGTGGAAGGAAATCCATAATAAGTGTCCCGCTCTAATAAGCACCAACGGCGATATTTGCTAATGTACTGGCTGGTGAACACTCCCAATTAGCACCCCTTCCGATTGATAAATGTACACAGGACTATTTATTCGTGAATAATACGTTTGTTATATGCATCCTTAATTATGGGCAATTAAATTCTGGAAAAATATATCTGTCGTACACAAACATTTCAGGCTGTCAGCATAAACCACGAAATTTACGATCTTTCAACTCTATTTTTCACTAAAATAATATTCTTATAAGAGCCTCGTATTTCTTATTTGGAGAGCGCCCTGGGCGCTTATTATGTCAAATACAGTAGTCACAAGTCATGGACTGGCAACGTCTATCTTCCATCAAAGATGTGCTGATACGAGAGTGTTCCGAAGACAGACTGAATTATTATAAGTGTACAGTTTTAGGCATACTGCAGTATGATGCTGATACTTGTTGGTGGAGGATTATTGGACAGATTGTACAGTGTACTGGATAACAGTTTGAACTTAAAGTGCACAAGTATCGTCGGATCATAGATTTTAGGACATCACACGTTTTCAGACAGCCATATTTGTTGCGATTACTCGCGCTATAGCAAGGGGTGTGTCGTCACACAGACATTGTAAATACTCAGATGTTGGCCAGAAGTGAGTAGGTGTTTTACAGTTGTTCTTGTGATTAGCAAAACAAATATGAATGTTTCTTAAGCGTCCGAAAACCCATAAAACGGGGATACTGCAATTTCATTAAAATCAGATCTTAGTTCTTGCTGTCGCTAAACAAAGATCTGAGGACATCCCATTAAGGGTCACGTCAGACCAACCTTTTCATCCAACCAATCAGAGCGTCGCTTACCAGATCATGAGTGATTGAGTATGGTTTTACGCGGTTTTTAGCAATATTCTAGCAACATAACGGCGGACACCAGAAATGGGCTTCACACATTGTACCCATGTTGGGAATCGAACCCGGGTCTTCGGTGTGATGAGCGAACGCTTTAACCACTAGGCTACCCAACCGCCCTTACCAGATCATGGAAGTGACAGTCGGAATGTGTTTTCTAATCATGCAACCACGAAATATTTAACACGGAGTATTCCGAATGACAGTTACAGGTTTTATGATTATATCCATACAATCTAGGCCATCTATAAGCCATTCCAGAATATTCTTCTTATCAGTTTTAAATTTTTTTAATCGAGAATACGTCAAAATATGTTTTGAAGCGGAGTCACCAGTTTGAAAGTAGTGTCGTAAAGCTCAAGAAATCTGCCTTCTGATTGGCTAATGTCGATTTCTTGTCGGTCATTTCATTGGTCGGTCAAAATTCGCGAAAGGCCGTTCTGACGTGACCCGTAATGGGATGTCCTCAGATCTTTGTTTAGCGGTAGCGAAAACTAAGATCTGATTTTAATGAGATTGGGAATACCGTAAACCCTCGTGGTACCTACACTGTGGTTTTCATGTCTATGAGCCAGGATCGGAGTTGGGGCATCTGTACCGAGTCCAGGTCCTGGAACAAACAACGAGGATATAAGTAAGGCTGTTACGATTCACTCGCGTATTCGATAAATCGAACCGTATCCATTCATGAATTGAATTCGTTATTCTAGCCACTAGATTCGAATATTTATGAATATGCAAGCATATGCATCTACATAAAAAAAATACCCATAAGAACATATTTTATGCATGGATTTCTTCATAAGACAACACTCTTATACTATTTAATTTGACAGTATTGTGGTCACTGGTCATTGTTGCATTTGAGCAGATACTAGTACCAGGATAAATGCAGTATATAAATGAATAATATATTTAATAATATATTAAAAATCAACAAACCATGTCAAATAATTTATGTTGTTGTTGCCTCAGTGACCATGCTGAATATGACAAATAATACATCAACTGCTGACTAGTTATTGTATTCGTGAATTATTATTCGTATTCGTTACCCTATATTCATGATACAAATCGTATTTGCCTCATAGTGTATTCATTGCAGCCCTAGATATAAGTACATCATCAACGCAGACAGCTCGCAGACAGTGGACTGTGCAACCTTGAAGTTCATATGTTTAACACAGGTTGGAGGACGAGTGCAAGTGGAAACCTTACTCCTCTGTCCTCACAGTGTGTAGCTAGTCCTGCTTGACTACAATTGGATTTTTCTTGTCCTCAGCAAAATTTGGAAGTCTCTGGCTTGCAGTCTAGCATGAATTTCGAGGCCTGGCATGTCATGGGTACTCCCATTTCTATCACTTTTATCAGTCTTAAAAGTAAATATTCCTCCATTACACAACAATATCCTAACATTATACAATACCTCACCCAGGTTCTGTGTGTCAGCATCTCTCTGAACAATACCTACTCACCCAGGTTCTGCGTGCCAGCGTCTCTCTGAACAATACCTACTCACCCAGGTTCTGCGTGCCAGCGTCTCTCTGAACAATACCTACTCACCCAGGTTCTGCGTGACAGCGTCTTTCTGAACAATACCTACTCACCCAGGTTCTGCGTGCCAGCGTCTTTCTGAACAATACCTACTCACCCAGGTTCTGGGTGTCAGCGTCCCTCTGACCAATACCTACTCACCCAGGTTCTGCGTGCCAGCATCTCTCTGAACACTACCTACTCACCCAGGTTCTGGGTGCCAGCGTCTCTCTGACCAATACCTACTCACCCAGGTTCTGCGTGCCGTGTCTCTCTGAACAATACCTACTCACCCAGGTTCTGCGTGCCAGCGTCTCTCTGAACAATACCTACTCACCCAGGTTCTGCGTGACAGCGTCTTTCTGAACAATACCTACTCACCCAGGTTTTGCATGCCAGGGTCTCTCCTAACAATACCTACTCACCCAGGTTCTGCGTGCCAGCGTCTCTCTGAACAGTCTGTCCACGTCAACTTGGTAGAGAAGCTGCATGACGAGAAAGAAAAATACAGTGAAACATCCATGTTTGCAATGCTAAATCTTTTATTTACGCTCCCTTCACTTAGCATTAGTTGGTTACAGTGTACACTAGAAAACAACCTTACGTAATTTATCCTAAAGTTGTCCCCCAAGAGGACTAGCTTATCTGATACCAAATGCTGATGATTTGTCAAGAATTTCGTAAAACAAATACTGTCATTTATCAGGTTTTTGGGGTGTTTTCTTCCACTTAAGTGGTTTCCTCTTTTCTATCACTGATTCAACACAGACAAGCTGCAAGTTAGACCAGAGCTGTCCCAGTAATCCATGGCAACAAGAGCAGTGAGAGGTCTGGAACCAACCTTCTCTGGGCCCGAGTTGGAGATCTCCCACTTCTGTACGTGTGTTCCTGACAAGACGAAGAACGGTCGACTCATCTCCTCCTCATCTTCATCACCAGGGACAATAGCTTGGAAAGGCTGTGAAGAAACAGATGGTCGTATTCAACTGTAACACCAGCTGGGGACATCATCTTACACATATTTAAATTTTACAATAAATTGTATTTTTATACTTTTTCTATCTCACACTATGCACTTCTTCCTGCTTCGATCCTGGTGAGGAAATGTCCAAGACCAAAGTCTCCTGTTTGAGGTGAGGTGAGGTGAAATGGGGTTTAACGTCGCAAGATTATTGCACTTATATAGCGACGTGCATGCGCGTTTAATGTGTGTGCGTGCGTGCGTGCGTGTGTTTCTGTGGCTGCTTGTACTAGTCCGGACTGATGTCGATTTATAGTGCTAGCACACTGAGATACCATGCTGCAGTTTAACATGAATACCCCACTCAGACACAGGATACTGACTCCAAGCTGACCAGTCCTTGTTTTAGCCAAGACAGACAGGGTAACAACAAATACCATCTTTTAACGTCTTTTGGTATGACGCAGCCGGGGATCGAACCCTGGACCTTCCACTCTCCAGGCGGACGCTCTACAACTAGACCTAAATTTCGGGCTTGCCTCCCACATTAAGCTGACACGTCATTATATAACTGGAATAATGTTAAAAGCGGCGTTAAACCCAACCCACTCACTCACTCTTAATCATGAAAGTGAATGGGTCCCAGTCATGACACTGATATTAGAAAAAGAAATTAAGGAGTTTTCTTGCAAACTCCAATGACCCCATTTAATTTTGAACACTGGTTTGTTTGCATCTACAAACATTACAAGTTAAACAGTATCTCTTGAGTCAGTAGAGGGTATCCTCACACTTCAGGCTATTTGAGTACTTACAGCACCCATTGTCTGCATGGGAGAAGCTCCAAATATGAAAGACGACATCCTGCGCCCGATGCCAGCAAACATGCCCTGGGCCGCCTTCAGAGGCTGGCACATGATGGTGTTCTGCAATGAAAACATTCTCCATGCACTGGAAACTTAAAGAAGATTTTAGATTTTTATACAAATTTCTCAATTGTTGGCGGGAGGCATTGTATTTTTAATATATATTTTTTTTGTACAAACTGTTGAAATCGTCTGTGTTAGTAACTGCTAACTGTCGACTGGTGTGATGCAGTGAAAGCTTGTGTGGGGAAAAGAAGGGAACACACATTGTGATTTTCTTCATGTGTAGGTATTTGGGGACAATGAAATGTTGTGAGGTGGGAAGTATGGTAGTGGAGGTCAGTGGGTATGAAAATTCAATAACTAATTTATTCTAGCCGTACATAGATATCTCAAGAAATAACAGGTACGGTGCCACACTAGGCCAGCCAGCTCACAGCAGAGAGGGGTACAGTGCCATACTAGGTCAGCCAGCTCACATCGGAGAGGGGTACGGTGCCATACTAGGTCAGCCAGCTCACATCGGAGAGGGGTACGGTGCCATACTAGGCCAGCCAGCTCACATCGGAGAGGGGTACAGTGCCATACTAGGTCAGCCAGCTCACATCGGAGTGGGGTACGGTGCCATACTAGGCCAGCCAGCTCACATCGGAGAGGGGTACGGTGCCATACTAGGTCAGCCAGCTCACAGCAGAGAGGGGTACAGTGCCATACTAGGCCAGCCAGCTCACAGCAGAGAGGGGTACAGTGCCATACTAGGCCAGCCAGCTCACAGCAGAGAGGAGTTCAGTGCCATACTAGGCCAGCCAGCTCACAGCAGAGAGGGGTACAGTGTCATACTAGGCCAGCCAGCTCACAGCAGAGAGGGGTACAGTGCCATACTAGGCCATCCAGCCAACAGCAGAGAGGGGTACAGTGTCATACTAGGCCAGCCAGCTCACAGCAGAGAGGGGTACAGTGCCATACTAGGCCAGCCAGCTCACAGCAGAGAGGGGTACAGTGCCATACTAGGCCAGCAAGCTCACAGCAGAGAGGAGTTCAGTGCCATACTAGGCCAGCCAGCTCACAGCAGAGAGGGGTACAGTGTCATACTAGGCCAGCCAGCTCACAGCAGAGAGGGGTACAGTGCCATACTAGGCCAGCCAGCTCACAGCAGAGAGGAGTTCAGTGCCACACTAGGCCAGCCAGCTCACAGCAGAGAGGGGTACAGTGCCACACTAGGCCAGCCAGCTCACAGCAGAGAGGGGTACAGTGCCATACTAGGCCAGCCAGCTCACAGCAGAGAGGGGTACAGTGTCATACTAGGCCAGCCAGCTCACAGCAGAGAGGAGTTCAGTGCCACACTAGGCCATAAGCAATAGCCAGCCCATTCAGTTTATCACAACGTGTCTTGCTGAACCTACCAATATACTGAAAAAACACCCGTTGCTAACAGAACTCCTGCTAGTTACCATGGTGACTGCTGTGTGTGTGTGTGTGTGTGTGTGTGTGTGTGTGTGTGCGTGCGTGCGTGTGCATGTGTGTACTTACCTGACCAGGGGTGGTGGTCAGCAATATGAGAGAGCTGGTGGTAGTGGCCAGGAGACATCCGAACGGCTATTAGGAAGAAAACACATTGTGAAAATATGGTGGACAGGACAGTCAGGAATTGATGTAGGCATTCTTAGAGCTTGAGAGACATAATAGCCAAAATTGAAATGAAAAGATCAGGTAATAAACGATAGCTATGCATGTGAGAGAGAGGAGGCAGTATTCCTGCTGTACATAGCCATGGCTTAAATATGATGGACACAAACATGAAATCTATGAACTCTTTTAAATGATCTGCATCTAATTTATGATACATAGTCAAGACATTAAGCAAAAGAGTTTAATTATGAAACTGATGTTCATATTCGTCGTAATTTATGAAACATTACTCAAGGGCTTTCTTCAGACAATTAAGAATCAAAGTTAGACACACAAAATTTAATTCACTCCATGAAGCTTTCAGTCAACCTGCACACCTAGCCATGGGAAAACCATTTTCTTGTGACCATTACCATGACGACCAGTAGACCTAAGACATGATTATTACTTACAAAAAAGCTGGAGCAGCAAGGTATGACAGCCATACAAAATCAAAGTTGGCCTAACTTGTCGGCTTCATTGAAAACATCTACACATTCAGTAATATTCCAGCTATATGACGGTGGTCTGTAAATAATCGTGTCTGGACCAGACAATCAAGTGATTGACATCATGAGCATCGATCCATGCAATTGAGATGCGATGACATCATGAACCAAGTCAGGAAGCCTGACCACCCTATGCCGTTAGTAGTCTCTTTCGACAAGCATAATCGCCTTTTAGTTTTCAACAAGCATGGGTTGCATGTTGTCATGTGGGAGAAAAATGTGAGAAAAATGTGAGAAAAATCACTCTTGCATTTCCGTCAATCTCAGAGATTTTAGGTGAAATGAAACTTGTTATATATTGTTAATCCTATACACCAGTACACAGATAAAATATTGCAATTCATATCGTTTGAAAAGTGTATTGCAGTATACCAAGCAGTTCTTGTAAGTATTCATCCCATGATGAGCGAATGTTACCTGAAAGTTGATGACACATGCACATTCTTCCCCCTTCAGTTCAGCGCTGACCTCGCCTGTTGAGGACTCGTATGCAATGTTGGGCCAGTACCGGACCACCCCCTCTGGGGATACGGCCACACATGCTGCAGGCTGGTTGTCGCTGGGGATGACACACACCCTCTCCGCACTGTGGGCAAGGTCACTGGGTGGCAAGGTCAGCTCTTTACACAGTACACCCTGAAAACATATCAACAGTGAGTGAGTGAGTTTAACACTGCTATTAACAGTATTACAGTTATATCGCGGCGTGTCAGCTTGATGTGGGAGGAAAGCCCGAAGTCACGTAGGTCTCGGATGTTTACCACTTCAGTGAAACCCATGATCACGGGTATGGTGCAGACAAACCTAGAAAACGGGATTCAACCCACGTGAATTGTGGCACCTTAGACGACTGGGCCACCCATGGCCCCCCAAAATGTAAATTTTTACATCTTTATGAAAATTCAAATAGGTCGTCACTCACTCTAGTCCCCGGCTGTTGCTTGTATCTCCACACAAACAGCTTGCGTCCCCCAACCAGCCACGCCCAGCCTGACGGGTCTACGTTAACTGTGATCTCTGTGTTTCCTGCAAGTAGCAAAGGAGTTTGTAAGTTGGGCACAACACTGTGTTGATCAGTATGTCAGTTATATCATAGCATGTCGGCTTACCATGGGAAGAGAGCCTAAAGTGATGCAAGTTGTACACATTTGCCACTTAAGCCCTAGTCAGAGGAGGATGGACATGATGGACCCGCTGCCTCAGAGTATCGATTGTCAAAATCACCTGACAGCCGATATATATATCGCGGTGCCTTAGACGACTGGGCCACCCGTGCCCCCACACATCTGACGGAGTCAGACAGAGAAGTATATGAGGGAGTATGGGCCAAGGCAGATAACTCCTGGGTATTGGGGCATGGCCTATAGTCTGTTTCAACTATCTCTCTGTTCGAGTACTGTCTGTTTGTATAAGGTAGGGAATCAAAAGCACTGTGTAGAGTCAGGTAAGGTAAAACATGAATTATGACGAATACTGATCTGAATATTTGGCAAACGAATCTGTATCTCCTACTCCACCCTGTCTGGCCTGAGATCACTTGGCCACTCATGCCCAAAGAAGAAACACATGCTTGGTGTTTTCAAGAAAATGTCGACATACATGATATAGTTGGAGTCAATATTTTATGCAACTCAAGCACTGTGACCTGTCTTACTTGCCCTGAAAATCACTATATCATGATTATAATGAGGACCAATAAACACGATAAATGAAAACATGATCAACAAAATTAATTATTAAATATTCATGACATTATTACATCAAAATTTAATAATTTAATGCTAATACCATGCTTGGGGTGAGTTAGTGAGTGTGTTTGGTTTTACGCCGCTTTTAGCAATATTCCAGCAACATTCCAGCAATATCACGGCAGGGGACACCAGAAATGGGCTTCACACATTGTACTATAACCAGGGTATACTATAACCAGGACAAGTATCCTTATTGACCAGTGCAGAAAATACTCGAACAGGAGGGAACTTTTCATATGAGCATCAGGATGACTCTATGTACAGAAAACAGTACATTAAAACTGGGACTGAGTGTACTGATGACCAACAACCAGTGAAGAACGGGACACAAACATTCCATCAACATCACAGAAGTGGTTATGCATCAACACATGTTAATATCAGGGACATGAGTGACAATGGTGTGCCCTGTGGACAAAACTGGAGCCCTGCTCCAAGGAATATGAGCAATGAGGAGCAAAGGGTGTCACAACCACAATTATGGAACATTTGTGGACAATGAGGTAGGACACATTTTAGTATGTCTGAGAGTCTTGTGAGATCTATGCAATGTTTTCAATGCTGTAGGATAGGGCACCTAAGCAGATTCTGCTTTGCTAATTAAGCCAAACGGGTGCAAGGGTTAACAGGGGCAGTGCTACATGAGGATTTGAGCCTGCCGCCAATATAGCAAATATTGATTTTGATAATGTTGGTAACATCATAAGCCACACTTTTACAATGAGAAATAATACAGAACCAGATCATAGAAATGATAAGTGATTTGAGCGAGATTGTTGTTTTGACTTGTAGTGTGGGCTTATCTCACAGCAGTATTAGGGTTAAGATATCTGGAAAGCCTTACAGTGCCCTATGTGACTCAGGTGAAACTTTGAGCTGTATGTATTCAAATGTATTCTCATCTATTGGAGGTGAGTGTAGATTTCCCTATAACAAAATGAGGTGCAAGGTCATTGGTTGTGCAGATGGGAAACCATTAGATGTGTTAGGTGTATCTGCAATTCCTCTTACAGATAGTCAGCTATGTGTTGTACAGGACTTTCAGGTCTTTTTTTTAGCCTTATGAATTGATGTGTTGTTAGGCTTAGATTTCTTGGAAAAGCCAGAAAGCTAACATTGATATTAGCCATAATAGGTCGACTTTGTGGGATGGACTTACAGAGACAAAGTTCATTGCTTATTCAGATTATTCCAACTTTGTTACATGTATATGTGATGTGGTACCACCACCACACGATGAAACTTTGTTGCCGGTGTACATTAAGTTAGGCGTTGTTGAGCCGATTGAGTCTATTGCAGAATGGTTATATGCGAGGTGCTAGATATCTCACTTCATCTGTCAATCAAGTACCATTGTTTAGGTTGATGAACCCTGCTAATTCAGAGGTTAAGTTAGCAATAGGTGTCATTGAAGAAGTCGATATTGCCAATGTGTATGGAGAGTTAGGAGACAGTGACAACACACATACCATGCCTATCACCACAGGTGACAAAGCATTCAACCATGTTGATATTGACAGGCCTCATTGATTGACGGGAATATGGATATCCAAATATGAAATGGGAGTTGATAAGTCGTAGAGGAATGCGATACCAAGTCCGATTAGCAGGTGTCTCAAATAGAGAAGGGGTCCTAAGTGAGTTTCTCAAATTCAGAAATTAAGGAGGATTTCCATGTCAGAAGAACAATGACAGGGAAGGTGAAGAAAGAAAACAACAAACGAGTAAACAATAGAACTGCAAGTAAGGAAGTTTGACAACCATATAGGTATATGATATACGGAGGATATGTAGATCCAAGGTTATAATAACAAGTTGGTTTTAGTCCCAAGTTATAGTGTCATGTGTCAAAGCAAATGGGTACCCAGATAGGAAATCAAGGATGATAATGAAAAGTCGTAGAGGTAACATGCCTACGCAGATATGAGATGATGAACAACGTCGTAGAGGTAACATGCCTACGTAGATATGAAATGATAGTAAGTCGTAGAGGTCACATGCCTATGCTGTCAAGCCGTGGAGGAGACATGCCCACGTAGTAATAATGTCGACAAGGACGTAGAGGAGACATGCCTACGTTATTTGAATATAAACACATAGATGAGGAAATGCCTATGCTGTTTCAAAGCTTGAAAGATCAAGTCTAGAGATGCCTGACAGTCTCTAGTGGTGAGGTAGATATGTTTCTACCTCAAGTTGCTGAGTATATTGAGGACAGTCGAAAGACTAACGATGAATTCACTCGGGACGAAGGACAGAGGGTCGATTTGTCTCGTAGCCTGGGTGAAGACCTATAAATCGGTCGTGGGATGTAGATGATTGGCCAATCATATTTGTACAGAAGAGTTTTGCCTAGTCAGAAGGCTGTTGTATACCTCCTGTTGAGGAGGGGAAATGTTTGAAGAGAGTACAGACGGAATATTAAAGAGGTTGGTTTTTTTTCATGAGTTATGATGCTGACACAGATAAAGACACAACGATAGGAGTGAAAAGGGACATACGGTTATATATTAATGGGATTGAAGATGTAACAAATCAGAAGTTGTTTAAAAACAAGGCCTTTTAACTTAAAAATATTCAACTGACCCACAAGTACAGCATATTATTCACACATGAACTGGAACTGTATGAACATAAGCGCTGTGTTCTGCGGTTTACTTAATGTTGGTAGACATTATTTATGAGAGAGTAATATGTTGTATGGTACATTGGTGACGATCAATTGGGATTGTTGTTTATTGTTTTTCACTTAGGGAAGATATGGCTTCATAGGGATAACAGAGTAGGAACTGAGATCAGATTTAAAATCTGAGAGACAACTTGGATGTTTGCGTTCTAAAGGACCCTTAGGCTTCACACTTAAGGTGATGATGACACTACTAATGGTGTGGAACCATTGACGACATGCATTCCGGATATCTATCTCTGGGGTAATACCTTCAGATATATGGGACGACTTAACATACGAACAGACATGGTATCATATATTCACTACTGAATTACCCAAGATCTCTAACTATCTGATTCTGCTCAGAGATACTTGTCTTCAGGCAAATCATACGTCCTGTGATGAGAATATGAGGGCTGTATTGAATTTTACTTATCGCATACATGACGACACTTTCGAAAACAAGTTAGAAGGGGTTACTTTGATCAGGAACATTATTCTTCAAGGTCAAATTGTTGATTCTCAGACTCGCTCCAAGAGAGCATTGCTACCTATTATTGGTGAATTCTCACACAATTTATTCGTTACCGCCGTGACATGACGTGAACATAATACGACAACATATCAATATCTTATCAAATAGAATGAGAGCGGAAGAAGCAGCTTTTTATGTGTCACAGGATTACATGGGTTTGTACATGTCTAAGGCCAATGACAGAATGGATGGTTTGAAGCAAGGTATAATTGCATAATGAATTGACTGAACTGATAAAGGTAGAGGATGGTAAGATACAATGGTTTCAGGCCATGTATGCACATTGGATACAACTGGTTGCAAAGGAGTTACATTTTGCTACTATGGTTGAAAGGAAGATTAATCGGTTGAGCACGGAATTATATAAGTTGTTAGAAAATGTACTATCACCCGAGTTGATACCTTTCCGACATTTAAGGCAGACTCTATCAAAATAAGGAGAGCATTGAAATGTCACAGTTTTAGAAATTTAAGTGATCTCAGACATACTAGTGTCCTCTTGTATAAATGTTGATGTTATACTGTATTCAATATGTTACTTTTACTACATGTTTTATGCTTTTGTGCTGACCTATATGCATTTATATATAATATATATGAATGGGTACACCTACCATATGAGAAAAACATATGTTGAATTTCATGAGAGAAAATCTATCCGTTATATGCTACCAGGATGTTGTATATGGTGCATTGTATTGCACCTCAGGAGTTGATAGATTGCATGTGCGATCACTGCCCAATGAGACATTTGACAATATTCTATATAGGTGTATGTCCAGTGACTTTATGATAAGTTGATGTTGTTTTGATATTGAAAAACAAAACAAAAAAAAACCTATTGTGATTATTGAGTCAGGTAAGATGTTGTTTGTTAACTGAGTATAGATGCTGAAGATAAAGTTCAACATTTACGTGAGAAATTATAAGAACAAACTGTTGTAATCTTCAGTTAAAGAGGACTTCATGGAGTGTAATGCATGAATTTAAAGTAATTTCCTATTTGATTTATAAATGACTGAATTTTGGACAATTAACTCTTTTGGACATCAGAGTCAAAGTTTTCACTGTCATACATGTAGGAATGAGCAACCTCATTCTATAAGATGATGGAGAGAATCATTTTTAAGTAAACTTCCACATTTAATAGGACATTTTTGATCATCTGATATGGAGAACTTTTCCCATTGGATCAAGACCATAAGAGTAAGAGTAAGTTGAATATGTCATAGAACATTCTGACATGGAACATGTTGATGACACAGAATAGTAAGATTATATATTGGATACACAGAACTCTGAAACTGATCATCAGTTGTTTATTGGTGTTGTGATACTATTGTGATTTTTGCCTGAAGGAAAATGCTCATATGTCTTTACATATAAGATCGAAATGTTAAGTAAATGTTTTTATTACCAATCTGCATCTACTGAAAAAGCGTACAAAGAAGAATTGTTTGATTATGCCTTTATAAGTCTTGGCATGTTATCATTCTCAGATAGGTACAACCCAAGACAGATCCTATCTGTGACATTATCTTGTAAAAATTTCATTGTATTTTCTGGTTCTCAGATGCATACACACACAAGTTGTTACATATTGATATTGTACTATTGTATTTACATCTTATATTTTATTATCATTGGTCAATCGCATGGGACATGCTCTACAACGGGAAGGGCATGTATAACCAGGGTATTTTGGAAAAGGGTTTTTATATTTACTTAAATGTAGTTTTACTAAATTGAGCAAATGATTATTGATTTAGCTTCTCTTAGTGATAGAGATAACATTTTCATTAGTACAATGATATTAGCAGAATCTGGTCTTGCAATATAAGTATCAGAGGGGAAATGAATGGATGGAACAAACTGTCAGTCTTGAAATGATCGAATATTTCTCACTACTACTGCTTGATTGGAATGTCTGATTAACATGATTAAGCATCTTTTAGACGCTTTCCAGTCTGACAGAGTGTTGGATTTTTGTCATAAAGAGGTTGAATTATGAGTATGCTATTAAGAGTTTATCGGTTGACCAATGAGTTAGGAAATTAGCTGAAGGTTTGGTTTAGAAGGGCTTGATAGAAGAACTGATTGGAACGGAAATTGGGGTTCATATGGAGGTGAGCGTTAGGACAAAAATTATCATGAATAGTATTTAGTGAGTTGTCCGAGAGTGGTGCGGGGAGTGGGGAGCATACAGCTGAACAGAACGGTTCACTGTGGTTTTGGGATCCCGAGTCAGAAAAGAAGTAGAGTTAACGTTCATCAGAAAAACCATCAGGCTCTTCAACCATCATCTAGGTATGTGTTGTATTTATATCAGGCAACAACAAGAATATATCTGAGGACCATGTGTGTGTATTTATGATTAACTCTATCATAAATAAAAAGGACTGGAGCAAACCATCGGACTTGTGATTCTGAGATAGCTACATCATCCCTAGAACCAAGGAGTAGTTGATAAGGACAAGTGACCATAGGTAGAAGGGTAAAGTACCCGGAACCTAAGGTTACATAACCCATGTCGGGAATCGAACCAGGGTCTTCGGTGTGACGAGCGAACGTTTTAACCACAAGGCTACCTGACTGCCCCACCATGCTTGGGACAGAGATATAGTTTGTTTCAAGTGTGGTACAGGCCACACAAAACATTTTTGGAATTAAAGCGTGCCAAAAACAACAATCAAGAATAATAATTTTGGATCCATCTTAAAACTTGTTGAAGTTATTTTATCATGAGCTAGTTAACATTGCTAAGCAGGCGTAATTTAGAAAGTCTGCAGTTTCATTGACATCCTATTCCTTTTCTGAACATGCTGAATGATCTCCAGGTTTAGTTTATGAATCATCTCATCATACTGTTCAATAAGCGTGTTCGTAAGCTTGTTTTGTTTTCCCAGATTATTTTTGCAAAAGAAAACCTTTCACCAGCTTATCATCATCACAATGCATATTAAAAAATGTGACTTCTAAGTTTTCATGTGTGCCCTTAATCATGTTCAGGTATCAGCATGATCAGGAACATACTTAAACGGTGCCACTGACACACTAATACAGAAAGCCTGCATGGCAATGTACATGATAATATGTGATGATCCTGGGTAGAATAGGTCTTCAGTAACCCATGCTTGCCGTAAAAGGCAACTATGCTTGTCATAAGAGGTGATCACCACCGAGTCTCTGGGACATACAAGAGTATGTCTCCCTGCTTCAGTTAATATGTTTGGACCTACAGTTTTTCCACTGGGCCTACAGTTTTTTAAATATGCGGGCCCCTCAAGGCTCTGAGTTTCAGACACTGATGCTCAAGATATCAATCATTGGATTGTCTGGTCCAGACTCGATTATTTACAGACCGCTGTCATATGGCTGGAATATTGCTGAATGCGGCATTAAACAACAAACAAACATATCATATTATCAATCTTAACATTCAGAAGGATCATTTCAGAGTTGGTAATTTCCTTCTCACTCACTGTCGGCCAGGGTAAGAGCTTCTGTGATCAGAACAGGAAGAGGTACGCCAAAACTCTCAACACGGTGTTGTGAGCTGACATCATCAACTATCTGTGATGTCTGCAGAGATCGGTTGGATTTTGAAGGGGTGTGGCTTCTGAAAATAATAACACAGCATTTACTATCATTAGACAGACAAGTTTTAGTATTCACTGCCAACATGCAATTGTCTGGAACCACAGGAATATGAAGATGTTAAAAATGGAAGAAAAACAGCCTTCAGCCTTCGGTCTTGTTGTATACAAGGTTTAAACCTTTGTGTCTTCAGCCTCCAGTCTTCTGGTATACATGGTCAATAATCTAATTTTCTTTACCATTGTTTACGATATGTATTTCTGTGCTTGAATAGATCAATATGTATTTTCTATACTATGAATACTGACCAGATTTGGTAATGACACTATGGGATATTACCAGTTTCTATAATCACACCCAAAAAACCCGCATGTAATTATTGCAGACATTCAGCATTACTGATACATTGGCAATTATTACATGCGCGAAAACTGACAACACATAGAAGGAGGAATAAATGCAATCTCATTAAAATCAGATCTTAGTTCTGGCTACCGCTAAACAAAGATCTGAAGACATCCCATTACGGGTCACGTCAGAGCGACCTTGCGCAAACTTTGACCGACCAATGGAATGACCAATCAGAAGGCAGCTTTCTCGTGCTTTACGGCACTTATTTCAAATTGGCGACTTCGCTTCGAAACATATATTGACAAATTCTCGATTACAAATTTGAAACCTGAACAAAAAAACATTCTGGAAAGGCTAATGGATGGCCTAGATTGTAAGGATTCAGTCTTTAAACCCGTAACTTTCGTTCGGAATACCCAATGTTAAAGTTTTCGAGATTGCATGATTAGAAATCACATTCCGACTGTCACTTTCATAATCTGGTAAGCGACGCCCTGATTGGTCGGATGAAAGGTCGTTCTGACGTGACCCCTAATGGGATGTCTTCAGATCTTTGTTTAGCGGTAGCGAGAACTAAGGTCTGATTTTAATGAGATTGGAATAAATGAATCTGCAAAATTCATATTCCGAACATAAATTTAATTTCACAGAAATATTAAAAATAGGCTAGTTCATATCATAATATTATACATGTACATCACAATAGAGTGGGTCGAGTATTAAATATGCCGTACCTTAACGAAGATAGTCGACGGCTCTGCGGGGTAAACACCCCCGATGAGCGTTTAGTTTGAGAGGCACGTTGTGATCCTGGTGTGAACGGCGACGCTCTAGCACGGGTACCAGTTGGACGTGGTGTGAACATGTTACCTACAAATCCGATAAACGGACAGACAGACACCTCCAAATATTTTTAAGGAAACAAGTACCAACTTTCAATTTGTTTCAACTCCCGCGTGTTTGTATGAAAATATCTCTTCCGGTACCGGGAAAATCGCCTACAGCAATGAAAATAAATAATTGGTATGAACACGTATTAAGCCGCCAATATTATACATCAAGGTCCCATTCATTTGAAAACCAATTAGAATTCTGTATTTAGACATTGCAGCATGATTTATATTTCGGGAAAGATAATGCTCAGTATTTCATGATTGTATGTGGCTTTGTTTTTGTAGCCAAGCTCCTTTCCAGCGCGTGACATCGGGATATCGCTGTGAGGAGTTTGATGTGTCGCGTCTTTTATCAAAACCCGCACTGAACCAAATAGAATAAATAACATTTTCATAAAACGGACGGAATTACGCAAAATGTGCACATCAGTTTTTACAATTATACCTTCATATGTAAGAATAAAGTTCTTTGAGAATAATTTCCAATAATTTCACTTAAAAATTCAGTTTTAATTTGTAAGAATAGACTTCAACATTTCTTACGTTTATTTCTTATATATGGGATATCAACATAATGTACAGCGTCTAAGGATCTTGATAAAACGTACACGCTTTAAAATAGTTACCTTAATTTTAATAATGATGAATCCCTGAATAGAATCGTACCTGGGCAATGTCGGACAGGTTCATTTTACGAACGGGTGGGTTAAGTTTCTCACAATCCTCACGATGCTTGCCGTAAAAGGTGCCTATGCTTGTCGTAAAAGGCGACTAACGGGATCGGGTGGTCAGGCTCGCTGGCTTGGTTGATGCATGTTATCGATCCAAATTGCGTGGATCGATGCTCATGATATCAATCACTGGATTGTCTGGTCCAGACTCGATTATTTACAGACCGCCGTCATATAGCTGGAATATTGGTGAGTGCGGCGTTAAACAACAAACCAAACCAAACCACAATCCTCACGTCGATTATCTGTACCTTTTCTTCCAATATCGATTGTCATATCTCTCCCACTTTTGGATGCGATTGTTCGGCCATTATGTTTATCTACGTAGCTCGGCTTTATCTATGGGGAACAACTTACTAGACACACACCCCTTTTAAAAATAGCGTCGTCCAATATGTGATGTCATCAAGTTGCGAGCGGGTATTAGAATCTCAAGAAATGTCATGACAGAACAATGTTTTATCGTGAAATATAAGATAGCTATGCGATAAATCGCAAAGAACAATGAACAAGCGTGTTTTCTCACGATAAAACATTGTTCTATCATGACGTCATTTCTAGAGATTCGAATATGCGCTCGCAAATTGATAACGTCATATTTTGGACGACGTTATCTTTGAGAGGGATGTGTCTCGTGAGTTGTTCCGCATAGATTTAGATGCGCAACGCAGATAAACGTAGTGGCCGGGCGATTGCATGTGAAAGTGGGAGAGATATGACAATAGTTATTTGGAGAAAAGGTACAGATAATCGATGTGAGGATGTTGATATCTCATATAAGAAATTAACCACTCTTAGTTCCTCATTGTTCTTTGCGATTTATCGCGTAGCTATCGTATATTGTACGATAAACATATTCATATTTCTCAACCATTTCTTCAAATATTGTCTAAGTAAAGTGAAATGTTTTTCTTAGTTGTACTTATAATAATTATTGTTCAACACATTATTGTTGTGTTTGTAATGCTGGTTATGTGGAGGAAGAGTATAATTTCTTGTTAGTTTGCTCCGGTTATAACAAGCTACGCGTGGATCACTTACCACAAACATTTTATGAATATCCGACCATACAAAAATTTAATATCATTATGTCTACAACTGATTGTAAATTAATTGAACGTCTAGCTATCTATATCTATTAAGCGATGTCACTTCGTAGTACATTATTGTCACAACAATAACAGCTGTGTACATCACGTCCATTGTAATACAAATGTAACTATGGGCCGATGGCCTACACTTACGAAAATAAACCGAATTGAACAACTGAACACAACTCAAGAAAGTATTACTTTCTTTTAGGGCTGGGACGGGTAACTCGGGTACTTGGGTCGGATGGATACTCAGAAGGACTCGATCAGGTTCCCACAGGACTACCCGGACCCTTGGTTAGTCACGTGATAGATTGTTTCATGACAAATATTATCTAGAACTCTATGTTTCAACAACAAGTTACTAATTTTCGCATCTTTCTGACCACTACGCCCATTCCTTCTGGCTGTTTTATGTTTGAAAAAAATAAAACTTCGGTCAACTTCAGTGTATGCATGACCAGATCGTTTTATATGTGTATCTAAACACATTTTGCCAGGGGTACGGTCAAACCTTTCCCAATTGGACAGTTTGTATACCTACCTTTTGAGACCTACAGCGGGTACCCGGGTAGGGTCGGGTAGTAGGGGAATGGGTACCCGGGTAGTAAATTTGGACTCGTCCCAGCCCTACTTTCTTTCACTATTTACAATGTTGATCGGGTTTTCGACAAACCTAGCCGTTTTGACATTATCCACTGAGATCCGTTTTCCCTATGGGCTGTTTTAGATTGTATACGATACAAGCATGGCGTCTTGAACCTTCATGTTGTTCAGCAAGCTGTAACTAAATTCGGTATATCGGAATCATGTCACAATTTGGTAAACCTTATTTCTATTTCTGATAATGTCCCATTACCCTGTTGTTGTGTTTATAAATATAACCCATTCAGTGCTGATTATGTGAAGAATTATACTCATATTCTTCGAAATTCGACGAGTCTACCCTGGAGAATGTCGGGGTTTGTGGCCAGTGTAGGCATTCCGGAATGGTAATTAGGGCTAGGACGAGTCCAAATTTACTACCCGGGTACCCTACCCCCTATTACCCGACCCTACCCGGGTACCCGCTGTAGGTCTCAGGAGATGTCTCTAAATGTCCCGATTGGGAACATTTTAAGCAAAGCCCTGACAAAACGTATTTAGATGTATGTATTAAACAATCTGGTCATTCATACACTGAAGTTGAATTAAGTTATATGTTTATTCAACCGTATGAAAAGTCAGAAGGAAGGGGTGCATAGTCAGAAAGAAATGCGAAAATTAGTGACTTGTAGTGTAACAATAGAGTTCTAGATAATTTTTGTCATTAAACAATATTTTACTGGTCCGGGTAGTCCTGTGGGTACCCGGCCCTACTCAGTACCCACCCGACCCGGGTACCCGAGTAACCCATCCCAGCCCTTGTGGAAATGGCCGTACAATCACGAGGATCTGGAGGTCAGGATCAGTGATTGGCAGATTGAGTGTGATCATACTCTGCCGTCGTTGATCATTGCTCTTGATGTCAATCACTGGTTTTGCATGGCCCAGTCGCGGTTATATACAGGTCGGTGTTTGTTGTTAAACCAGACAATTTAGTGATTGACATCATGAGCATCAATCTACGCAAATGGGATATAATGACATGCATCAACCAGCTCAGTGAGCCTGACAACCTCCCGTTACTTGCTTCACTTGCCTGTTATGCCAAGCATTGGTTGCTGCATGAAGAGCAATTCTCAACCAGATCTGCACAGGGGTACCTGTAGGCCGCTGTGATATATGTTTGCAATCAGGGTTAGAACTAAACTCAAAAGTTTACTTGCTCGGGTAGAGATAAAATGCCATTGGAATTTTAAAACAATGGGGAAATTTGGAAATTTGTACTAGCATGCAGGAATTTGTACTAGCCCTGGGCCAGCGAGCTAGTGTTAAGTTCTAACCTTGGCAATATATTAAACGGTTAATCGACCTTCACTCACTCATAGATCAGTCATTAATAAAGCAACCTGTAAATTTATATACTAAACGGAGCATCAGGTTAATGATGAAACACACAAGAGCAGGATATTCCATAAGGACATTGACAATGATGTATCAGTGTAAGATATAAAATAAGGGTACCAGTAATTTCGACCCGTGAAGATCCGGGTAGAGAATAGGTCTTAAGCAACCTATGCTTGCCGTAAGAGGTGACTATGATTGTCGTAAGAGGCGACTTATGGGATCGGGTGGTCAGGCTCGCTGACTTGGTTGATGCATGTCATCGTATCCCAATTCTCGAATTGTGTGGATTGATGCTCATGATGTCAATCACTGGATTGTCTGGTCCAGACATGATTATTTGGTGTATGCTGAAGAGTAGACAGTGGGTACATACATATTTATTTGATAGTGTGTTTTTAGTGAGTTTGTGTCTTACACAAACATATTTGCTTATTTACTTATTTACTAGATTATACAGTCTAATAGTTATTGAGATTTGTGTTTCTAGGTGACATACATGAAGACAGTGACTATGAATGGAAGCCTCCTTCTGAAGCTGAGATGAAGATAATTCGAGCTCGCCGTGAGCGAGACAACAAGATCAGTCAGCGCATGGGGGACTACTTACTGAAGGGCTACAAGATGCTGGGAACTGTGTGTACCTGTGGGGTAAGTGTGTGTACCTGTGGGGTAAGTGTGTGTACCTGTGGGGTAAGTGTGTGTGCCTGTGGGGTAAGTGTGTGTACCCGTGGGATACGTGTGTGTACTTGTGGGGTAAGTGTGTTCCTGTGGGGTAAGTGTGTGTACCTGTGGGGTAAGTGTGTGTACCTGTGGGGTAAGACTGTGTACCTGTGGGATAAGTGTGTGTACCCGTGGGATAAGTGTGTGTACCCGTGGGGTAAGACTGTGTACCCGTGGGTAAGTGTGTGTACCCGTGGGGTAAGACTGTGTACCCGTTGGGTAAGTGTGTGTACCTGTGGGGTAAGTGTGTGTACTTGTGGGGTAAGTGTGTGTCACTGTGGGGTGAGTGTGTGTGCCTGTGGGGTAAGTGTGTGTACCTGTGGGGTAAGTGTGTGTACCTGTGGGGTAAGTGTGTGTACCCCACAGTGTGTTCATTTTTAACATGCCTCTTTCCAAATATGTGTATTTTTTTAATAAACCTCCCCTAGAGACTGTCATATATTTTTGTCACCCTCCCCTGATTCCCTCTGACCACCCCTAAATTTATATATGACCGTTCCCTTACATTCCTAAATGATCATTATTCAGTTCTGACATGTATGCCTAATGTAAATTTTAATCTCTCACATCAACTTAAGGTATCCTGGTTATACTTCAACATAACAAGCTATAGTGAATCGTTTCCTATCTATGTACATTAGCCTCTTGACCCATGAAGATCCGGGGTAGAATAGGTCTTCAGCAACCCATTCTTGCCGTAAAATGCGACTGTGCTTGTCCATAAGAGGCGACTAACGGGATCGGTTGGTCAGGCTCGCTGACTTGGTTAATGCATGTCATTGTATTCCAATTGCGTGGATCGATGCTCATGATTCAATCACTGGATTATTAATACATCCGAACCCGTGAAGATTCCGGGGTAGAATAGGTCTTCAGCAACCCATACTTGTTGTAAAAGCAGACTAACGGGATCGGGTGGTCAGGCTCGCTGACTTTGTTGATACATGTCATCAATCCCAATTGCCTGGATCGATGCTCATGATGCCAATCACTGGATTGTCTGGTCCAGACTCAATTATTTTACAGACCTCTGTCATATAGCTGGAATATTGCTGAGTGCAGCGTTAAACAACAAACAAACAACAGCCTATGATATTCCCACCTCAATGTGTGTATTCCGCTGATCCTTCCAGACTATCCTCCTGCAGGACAAGCAGGGCAGCAACTACTGCATCGCCTGCAGCGAGCTCGACTCGGATGCTGATAAAGACAACCCAGGTATGTAACAGTGATGGGGAACATGGTTTTGGTAAGAGATATATTACATGATTAACTTTACCCACTGGCAAATCCGTTGTGGGTGGGGTTGTTGCAAATCCAGGGTGGGTGGTTGCAGATCCAGGGTGGGTGGTTGCAGATCCAGGGTGTGGGTGGTTGCAGATCCAGAGTGTGGGTGGTTACAGATCCAGAGTGGCTGGTTGCAGATCCACGGTGTCAGTGGTTGCAGATCCAGGGTGGGTGGTTGCAGATCCAGGGTGTGGGTGGTTGCAGATCCAGAGTGTGGGTGGTTACAGATCCAGAGTGGCTGGTTGCAGATCCACGGTGTCAGTGGTTGCAGATCCAGGGTGTGGGTGGTTGCAGATCCAGGGTGTGGGTGGTTGCAGATCCAGGGTGTGGGTGGTTGCAGATCCAGAGTGTGGGTGGTTACAGATCCAGAGTGGCTGGTTGCAGATCCACGGTGTCAGTGGTTGCAGATCCAGGGTGTGGGTGGTTGCAGATCCAGGGTGTGGGTGGGTGGTTGCAGATCCAGGGTGTGGGTGGTTGCAGATCCAGGGTGGGTGGTTGCAAATCCAGGGTGTGGGTGGTTGAAAATCCAGGGTGTGGGTGGTTGCAGATCCAGGGTGTGGGTGGGGTGGTTGCAGATCCAGGGTGTGGGTGGGGTGGTTGCAGATCCATGATGGGTGGGGGTGGCTGCAGTTGTGTGCAGCCCCCCTTTTTGTCAGACACCTTATATCATTCATGTGTTTTGTTCATTAAGTTACTTTGGTATAGTGCCCTGGGTAAAGTGTGCAACCATTGTTTATTTAAAATCCTGGATCCGCCTTTGCTACCTCTTTAAGTAGAGGCTACTGTGACAGTCTGTGCCTTCCTGTGTATTCCAGTGAGAAACCAAGCAGCGGCTCTGTCACAAGTGCGAGAACAACAGCTGTCATCTGAGAGACTTGTCGGAGAGGAATCTGTAGAACAGTCAGCGCCACCATCAGGCCCAGGTGCCACTCCCGCTACTCACCCCACCCCTATCACCCACAGTCACAACTCCGTGACATCCACAGTTCCAAGTACTCTCAGGCTAACTAGTGGTATGCAAGCAGTTATCTCCCCTGTCGTACCAGAATCTGTTGACATTCTGCACAGAAAGCTGGCATGGGCGTCCAAGGAGCTACAAGAGACTAGCAGTGTTGAATATAGCATACAGTTGTGCCAACTTATCAAACACTGTGCTGATGCAATCCACAGCTTGAAGTGTGTGGGGACTTGAGTAGAGCTTGTAAATAGTCATATTCCTTTCAATAAATGTCATATTATCCATTTGAGACTGAGATTTGAGATTTGAGACACCAGAAGACTTTGGTGTGTGGATCATTAGGTACCTTGTGACCAGAACAGGTACAATGCCTTGTGTTTTATGTAACATTAAAAACATAACACTGAAAACATTGTTTTTCTTTTCTTATTCTTTGACGTTGGATATGTTATTTGGAACTACACCACATCCTAGTGGTCTAGTGGTAGAGCATCCGCCCGGAGAGCAGAAGGTACAGGGGTTCAATTCCCGGCCCCCTCATGCCAAAAGACATTAAAAGATGGTACTTGTTGTTACCCTGTCTGGCACTCGGCTTTAAGAAGGACTGGTTCGGTTTGAGTCAGTATACTGTGTCTGAGTGGGGTATTCATGTTAAACTGCAGCATGGTAACTCAGTGGGCTAGCACTATAAAATTGGCATCAGTCTGGACTAGTACAAGCTTAAGCAGACACACAGACACACAGGCAGACACACACACACACGTGCATGTACTTTGGTATATAAATGCAATAATCTTGGACGCGACCTTAAACCCCATTTAACCTTCACTTGGGACTACATGTGTGTGGGAAATGTTGGCGGGGACGCATCTTCCCGAGGCAAAGAGAGTTAACTGACTAAAAAAGTCCAGTTTCCACCCTTGCCGAACTTGGCTGGTATTATGGAGTTACCTTTTGGCTGGACAAAGGAGTCTATGCATAGTCCAATCAAAATCTCGCAACGAAATCGAAATCCGGTTCGTAAACTGTCGTGCAGATTTCGGTCGATTACAGGATTTGCAAACCATGTGCACCGCCAACTCATTGTCAACAGATATTTTCCAAACCTTTACATGTTTTTGATCAATGTGCTCTCGTGATTTGATGCTCTTCACGATGTAAGACCCGTTTTATCACAATACAGATCTTGATTATCGATCAGATCGTCTTGACTGGGCGCCGCCATTTTGTTTGAAACAAATGCAAGTGATGGAATCGGATTGGTCCATGGGAGAGGCTCAGAACTGACATAACTCATAATAGCCACTGGTGGCGCTACGATCGAGCCCAGGAATTCCAGCCTAGTTCGGCAAGGGTGGAAACTGGACTTTTAAAGTCAGTTTCTCTCTTGCTTCGGGAAGATGGCGGTGACGTTGCTCAGCAGCTCTTGATTAACTTGAGAGGTGGTGCACTGCAACAGGTGAGGGCAGACAAAGGGGTGTTGGCGGATTGTGTGAATGTCGCATATTAATTGGAGTGAAAATTGTAATGTGAGAACATGATGTTTATGATGCAGAAGCGAGTGTGAGTTTGGTTTAAAGCTGCTTTGAACAGTATTCAAGTTATATCTCTGCGTCTCAGCTTAATGTGGAGGAAAGCCTGAAGTAATGCACATCTCAGACGTCTACTACTCTCGTGAAACACAGGTATGGTGCTGAGAAAGCCAAGGAACATAATTCGTGTGAACCAGGATTCGAACCCAAGTGGCGACTGCTTGTCGTAAGAGGTGACTAACGGGATCGGGTGGTCAGGCTCGCTGACTTGGTTGATGCATGTCATCGTATCCCAATTGCGTGGATCGATGCTCATAATATCAATCACTGGATTGTCTGGTCCCGACGATTATTTACAGACCGCTGTCATATTTATTGAGTGCGGTGTTAAACTACAAACAACCAATCAATCCCACAGTGATAGGTTTCTGGCGTGCCAAAGGCACACAACTATGCACTGAAAATTATGACGCCTTAGCAACGCAGAAAGATTTGAGGATTTTAATCTCTTAATCTTATAATATCGTGAATAATTGGATTGTCTGGTCCAAACTCGATTATTTACAGACCGCCGTCATATAGCTGAAATATTGCTGAGTGCAGTGGTAAACAAACAATCATATAATATCATTCTTACATAATCAATTTTTAAGGCATTGGTTCATTCACTGCATTAACTTTCCAAACTGCACACGAATACAAAACCAGAGTGAGTCGCCCGATGTATCCTATAGAGCCAAAGAATTTGCAACCATGTTTGTCTACAGAATCACTCAAAAATTGCCAAACCTGTATAGTTTTTTTAGGAACTTTAAACAATAGGTTTATTGAGCAGCAGGCATCACATCAATGTATTTTCTGCAAGGTGACCTGCATGTTTTTAGGTGGTTTGTCTCATCAGTTCCACTACCCATTAAATACACCTATGTCTGACCACATGGAATGAAACAGGAAGCTGGTATTATCACCCACTGTGAGCTGTGACCTGGCTGTCTTAGCGTGCAGTCTTACCCCGGAGACAACTGCTCACCATCTGTGACCTGGCTGTCTTAGTGTGGAGTCTTACCCCAGAGACACAACTGTCCATCATTTGTGACCTGGCTGTCTTAGTGTGCAGTCTTACCCTAGAGACACAACTGTCCATCATCTGTGACCTGGCTGTCTTAGTGTGCAGTCTTACCCTAGAGACACAACTGTCCATCATCTGTGACCTGGCTGTCTTAGTGTGCAGTCTTACCCTAGAGACACAACTGTCCATCATCTGTGACCTTGCTGTCTTTGTGTGCAGTCTTACCCTAGAGACACATCTGTCCATCATCTGTGACCTGACTGTCTTTGTGTGCAGTCTTACCCAAGAGACACAACTGTCCATCATCTGTCACCTGGCTGTCTTAGTGTGCAGTCTTACCCAAGAGACACAACTGTCCATCATCTGTGACCTGGCTGTCTTAGTGTGCAGTCTTACCCTAGAGACACAACTGTCCATCATCTGTGACCTGACTGTCTTTGTGTGCAGTCTTACCCTAGAGACACAACTGTCCATCATCTGTGACCTGGCTGTCTTAGTGTGCAGTCTTACCCTAGAGACACAACTGTCCATCATCTGTGACCTGACTGTCTTTGTGTGCAGTCTTACCCTAGAGACACAACTGTCCATCATCTGTGACCTGACTGTCTTATTGTGCAGTCTTACCCTAGAGACACAACTGTCCATCATCTGTGACCTGGCTGTCTTAGTGTGCAGTCTTACCCTAGAGACACAACTGTCCATCATCTGTGACCTGGCTGTCTTAGTGTGCAGTCTTACCCTAGAGACACAACTGTCCATCATCTGTGACCTGGCTGTCTTAGTGTGCAGTCTTACCCAAGAGACACAACTGTCCATCATCTGTGAACTGGCTGTCTTAGTGTGCAGTCTTACCCTAGAGACACAACTGTCCATCATCTGTCACCTTGCTGTCTTTGTGTGGAGTCTTACCCTAGAGACACATCTGTCCATCATCTGTGACCTGGCTGTCTTTGTGTCGTGTCTTACCCTAGAGACACAACTGTCCATCATCTGTCACCTGGCTGTCTTAGTGTGCAGTCTTACCCTAGAGACACAACTGTCCATCATCTGTCACCTGGCTGTCTTTGTGTGCAGTCTTACCCAAGAGACACAACTGTCCATCATCTGTCACCTGGCTGTCTTAGTGTGCAGTCTTACCCAAGAGACACAACTGTCCATCATCTGTGACCTGACTGTCTTTGTGTGCAGTCTTACCCTAGAGACACAACTGTCCATCATCTGTGACCTGGCTGTCTTAGTGTGGTGTCTTACCCTAGAGACACAACTGTCCATCATCTGTGACCTGACTGTCTTTGTGTGCAGTCTTACCCAAGAGACACAACTGTCCATCATCTGTGACCTGACTGTCTTTGTGTGCAGTCTTACCCTAGAGACACAACTGTCCATCATCTGTGACCTGGCTGTCTTAGTGTGGTGTCTTACCCTAGAGACACAACTGTCCATCATCTGTGACCTGGCTGTCTTAGTGTGCAGTCTTACCCTAGAGACACAACTGTCCATCATCTGTGACCTGGCTGTCTTAGTGTGCAGTCTTACCCTAGAGACACAACTGTCCATCATCTGTGACCTGGCTGTCTTAGTGTGCAGTCTTACCCTAGAGACACAACTGTCCATCATCTGTGACCTTGCTGTCTTTGTGTGGAGTCTTACCCTAGAGACACATCTGTCCATCATCTGTGACCTGGCTGTCTTTGTGTGGTGTCTTACCCTAGAGACACAACTGTCCATCATCTGTCACCTGGCTGTCTTAGTGTGGTGTCTTACCCTAGAGACACAACTGTCCATCATCTGTGACCTGACTGTCTTTGTGTGCAGTCTTACCCAAGAGACACAACTGTCCATCATCTGTGACCTGACTGTCTTATTGTGCAGTCTTACCCTAGAGACACAACTGTCCATCATCTGTGACCTGGCTGTCTTAGTGTGCAGTCTTACCCAAGAGACACAACTGTCCATCATCTGTGACCTGGCTGTCTTAGTGTGCAGTCTTACCCAAGAGACACAACTGTCCATCATCTGTGACCTGACTGTCTTTGTGTGCAGTCTTACCCTAGAGACACAACTGTCCATCATCTGTGACCTGGCTGTCTTAGTGTGGTGTCTTACCCTAGAGACACAACTTTCCATCATCTGTGACCTGACTGTCTTTGTGTGCAGTCTTACCCAAGAGACACAACTGTCCATCATCTGTGACCTGACTGTCTTTGTGTGCAGTCTTACCCTAGAGACACAACTGTCCATCATCTGTGACCTGGCTGTCTTAGTGTGGTGTCTTACCCTAGAGACACAACTGTCCATCATCTGTGACCTGGCTGTCTTAGTGTGCAGTCTTACCCTAGAGACACAACTGTCCATCATCTGTGACCTGACTGTCTTTGTGTGCAGTCTTACCCTAGAAACACAACTGCTCGTCATCTGTGACCTGGCTGTCTTAGTGCACAGTCTTACCCAAGACAACTGTCCATCATCTGTGACCTTGCTGTCTTAGTGTGCAGTCTTACCCCAGAGACACAACTGCCCATCATCTGTCACCTGGCTGTCTTAGTGTGCAGTCTTACCCCAGAGACACAACTGTCCATCATCTGTGACCTGGCTCACTTAGTGTGCAGTCTTACCCCAGAGACATAACTGCTCATCATCTGTCACCTGGCTGTCTTAGTGTGCAGTCTTACCCGGAGACGCAACTGCCCATCATGTTATGTTCCTAGGTTTGTTAGCACCATACCTGTGCTCATGAGCCTCGCCAAAGTGGTAAAATCCTGAGACTTGCATTACTCCGGGCTTTCCTTCCACATAAAGCTGACTCACCGAGATAAAACTGAAATACTCATCAAAGTGGTTTTAAGCCCAACTCACTCGCTCGCTCGCTCATTCAAAGTTCACATTTTTTCTGTCACTCTGGCTGTGTTTTGTTTTTCTTCATATTTCAATATAAAAATAGACGTGCCGTGTTTCCTTGTTCAATTGCCACTACTGGTATATGCAGTGTGTGTGTCCCATACAATACGTCAAGGAGTTAATAGCACCCTCAGGCATTAATCTCATTAAAATCAGATCTAAGTTTTCGCTGCCGCTAAACAAAGATCTGAAGACATCCAATTACGGGTCACGTCAGAACGACCTTTCGCGAACTTTGACCGACCACTGAAACGACTAACAAGAAGTGGACATCAGCCAATGAGAAAGCAGCTTTCTCTAGCTTAACGGCACTCGTTTCAACCTGGCGACTTCCATTTCAGTCTACGCCTGAAAAATATGTTGATACAGTTCTCGATTAAAATTTTGAAAACTGAACAAACGAACACTTATGCATGTCTAATATATTGTTGCGATGGTATGGCAGTGCTTCCCACGTACTGTGCAACGCCTCTTCCGTTCAAATGTTTATCCCACGGAAGCGAGAGACAGACGATAATTTTGACGGAATCACTCGTACGGGCCGTAACTGTCGTTCGGAACACCCCGTGTTAACGTTTTCGAGGTTGCATGATTAGAAAACACATTCCGACTGTCACTTTCATGATCTGGTAAGCGACTATTTGATTGGTCGGATGAAAGGTCGTTCTGTCGTGACCCATAATGGGATGTCCTCAGATCTTTGTTTAGCGATAGTGAGAACTTGTAGCACGGGTTGCAAGCGGTACCTTTGATCTTACCCGTGCTGTATCATGGTAGTAAGAGCACGGTTTGTTAAAGATTATTACCATTGGCTGATGCAAAGATCAGCAAGCCGCGCCTACTAGCTTGAGAAATTTCAAACTTACAATGTTTCTTTAGTGTTGTACACAGTGTTCAAGAGTAATAACGTAAATAAACAACAAAAAACAATAGAAATGTTCATAACTTAATAAAAAGATTACAATGTAACTGTCAAACATAAAAACAACTGGACACAGAACGCATTTTGCTAAATTCGGAAAATTAATAGTTGACATTTCTAATGTGCCTTTGAAAATTCCAAAGTTTACACTTGATATAACAATTAGATTAAAAGTTAAACGTTAACGTTAAAAGTTAACGTCATATTATACGTCACTAAATTTTACACAAACTCGCGCAATTTTGGAATGACCGTCGCAACCCGTGCTACAAGTCACTTACAACACACCCACCTACTCGTTGATTGGGCAATAAGAGCACGGTTTGGCTTGGCATTTGATTGACAGACAAAAGGATCACCTCGGGGCTCCGCCCCTCGGTCCTTTTGTCTGTCAATCAAATGCCAAGCCAAACCGTGCTCTTACTGCCCAAACAACTCGCCTTGGTGTGTTGTAACTATAACTAAGATGTGATTTTAATGAGATTGCCTGATGAATATCAACACCAGTCATGTCCAGCTCGACTAGCAATGAGCAGATAAATGGAGTGTGTCAGTGTTGTTATGCTCACTATCAGCAATACTCAGGATAAAGTCTGGAAGTTGTCCTCGCACATCGGACATATTATAAGGACACGTTTGTTGGTTCAAGAGAAGCATGAATTATCTGATAGACTAAATGTTGTTGTAGATAATCAAGTTCCTGTTATGTTGGCTTTTTAAGTCCCTAAATGCTGTGTCGTCATCAATGAATGGGATTGTTATATCAACTTTATACCCTTTACAAAAAATCAACTTCAGTTTGGGAAGTGTAATGTTTATTTCAACAATGGCATCCAAGGTACATGCGATGTAAATGATCAATGTAACACGATCAATACTGTGAATTGATATTAAAGGATTTACAGTGATCTGCAACAACACAAAGACTGAATCCCAATAACACAAAGGATGTCTGACTGAATCACTCCAGGCCTCTCCCAATAACACAAAGAATGTCAGACTGAATCACTCCTGGCCTCTCCCAATAACACAAGGCATATCTGACTGACTAACACTGGCCTCTCCCAATAACACAAAGCATGTGTTACTGAATCACTCCTGGCCTCTCCCAATAACACAAAGCATGTCTGACTAAATCACTCCTGGCCTCTCCCAATAACACAAAGCATGTCTGACTAAATCACTCCTGGCCTCTCCCAATAACACAAATAATGTCTGACAGAATCACACTGGCCTCTCCCAATAACACAAGGCATGTCTGACTAAATCACTCCAGGCCTCTCCCAATAACACAAATAATGTCTGACAGAATCACACTGGCCTCTCCCAATAACACAAAGCATGTGTGACTGAATCACTCCTGGCCTCTCCCAATAACACAAAGCATGTCTGACTAAATCACTCCAGGCCTCTCCCAATAACACAAATAATGTCTGACAGAATCACACTGGCCTCTCCCAATAACACAAAGCATGTGTGACTGAATCACTCCTGGCCTCTCCCAATAACACAAAGGATGTCTGACAGAATCACACTAGCCTCTCCCAATAACACAAAGAAAGTCTATAAATTTATATGAGCGGGGTATACATGTTAAACTGCGGCATGGTATCTCAATGAGCTATCACTATAATTCGGCATCAGTCCGGACTAGTACAATCAGCCACACACACGTGCATGCGCGTCGCTATATAAGTGCAATAATCTTGGACGCGACGTTAAATCCAATTTCACTTCACCTCATCTAATTGGAATTTTAAAATGTACATATTTATGTTGATAGGTATTTTACGTACATCACGCTGACAAACTTGGTTGACTACTATTTGAAATTGTCCCTGGTCTTTCTTTAAGTGGGAAAACTCCTTGGTTGTGTCTCTCATTTACATTTTTAAACAGTTGAAAGTCAATATTCGACGTTTAGGTCGCCGTATAATGTTCAATAGCTGGATTTCTCTCACTGGTACATCACATCTATTCAATGTTAAAGAATCGCAGATACGTTTTGAGAAGGTCCCTGGTTGGTCTCAGCAGCTGTCTTGTGGACTCACTGATTAGCAGCTCTGTGTTAGTTGTGTCAAACACGGGCCAGTGTCGAGCGCGATCCCAGAAGGCTGACATGAAAAACGGCGTAAGAGGGAGCAGTTCTATATTGTCCTCAGGAGCACTCCGAAGTTCTTCTCGCCACCTCTCAAGTGGCAATGCCGTTAGGCCCATTCCCTGAAACAGTTCCCTGAAAGGAATAGTGTCTTGATTGAACAGATGGAACACCCGGAGACCTTGCCCTTCTCCGATTCTGATCTTACAGGCAATTTCCACAATAGCTTTCGCACAGAAATCCACAGGTGTCAGGTCAAAGGGAAAGTCCATATCAGGATGACTGCCCAGTTTACGCATTCCTATCAAGGTGGATGCAAAGAGATCATTCCATGAACCAACGCCATCCGTGGAAGTACCTGATACCCGAGCCGGCCTGAAGATGGCGCCACCTGGGAGGAACTCTAGTGCTTGCAGCACCAGTCTTTCACTTGCCCACTTACTCTGACCATATCCGCCTTCAACATCCACAGGTTCATGGAAAAAGTCTGACTCGAGTATCGCAGAGTGAACCGGCTCACTGAGTCCGGGCGTTGGGAAGAGAAAGACGCTGAGTGAAGATGTCATAAAGAGGTATTTCCTTTTGTTAGTAACAGCAAACTTTATAAACTCCTGTGTACTGACAACATTTGCAATTCGGTGATCTTCATAGCTTCCGTTGAAGTTCATCATAGCAGCATTGAGGAAGATTGCATCAACGTCATTCGTCAGACTGCTGTAGATGTCAGGAGCGATTCCAAGTTTTTCCTGCCTCAGGTCAGACAGAACGATGGCAATTCTGTTCCCGTATTCAAACTTCCACAGGTTGTACTTTCGCATGTTTTCAACTACTCTACCGAGTCCCTTGACTTCTGTGGTTTCTCTGACCATGCAGCATATATTGCCCAGCGTGTGTTCCAGGAGTTCGCTCAGAAGAAATGCTCCCAGGAATCCTGTAACTCCGGATATCAGTATTGTCATGGGACTCTTCTTCCCATGAAAAGATGGCGAACATTTCGGGCCTAATGTCACCCCCAAGACTGTGTTTGAACTGGCATCAATCTCTAGTTGTGAATCCGACATGATGTAGGTGTTTAACTGGTCTGACTGTCGTCTGGGCATGCCTTGGTTTGTTTTAACAATTTCCCTTTTCCTGGAGATGATGTCGGCAAATGCTTCAACAGTATCAGCAGCACCAATATCAGTAAAGGAGAGGGAAATGTTCATCCTCTCTTCAATTGCTCTCTGCAGCAGTACGAGATGGAGGGAGTTGCCACCCATCTCACTGAACGAGCTCATCCTATGCAAGGAGTATGTAAAGAAGGCATCCAAGTTTAAAACCTCGCACCATAATCTGGCAATTTGAAGTTGTACCTCATTCAAATGGCTGTATCCGATGCGTGGGTACTGATCGTGCACACTCTCATCCATGGACAGAGCTTTTCTGTCTATTTTCCCATTCAATGTGGTTGGAAATTCTTGGTTTTTGAGTTTCTTAATATATGTAGGGATCATGTACTTTGGCAGCACTGTTGCAAGATATTCCCTCAGTTCTGAGAGGAACACAAAATCAGGCGTGACAAATGCAGACAAGACCGATTCCTTTGTGACAGAACATTTATGAATAACAACTACAGCAACTTGGACCATGATGTGTTGTATCAACACCTGCTCAATCTCACTCAGATCAATCCTTTGGCCCCTGATCTTGACCTGATCATCGAGCCTACCGACAAATGTGATGTTGCCATCGATGTCCTGGAATGCATGGTCTCCAGTCTTGTACAGTAAATCTGGTGTATTGGTGTGAGGATTCTGTAGGAATGATTCTGGATTTCTGTCTGCTGCATGGCCTATATATCCTCCAGACACACCTAGCCCTCCAATGTACATCTGACCTACAGTTCCTGGAGGAACTGGTTTGACAAAGTCGTCAAACAGATATACATGACATCCAGATATGGAAGGTCCAATTGGCAAGTCCTGGTTGACCTCTTCAAAGTGATTCGTTGATTGAAATTCATAGATGGTGGCGCAAACTGTTGTCTCTGTTGGGCCATAAGCATTGAAGAACCGATTTCCAGTTTGTTTTGTCCACTTCATTGCAATATTAAGTGTGCAAGCTTCACCAGCTGCAATGATGTTTCGGACAGTTGGGAGATCTGAAGGTGAGTATATGTTCAGAACAGAAGGTGTCAGAGTGATTGTAGTGACCCCTAGCATTGTCACAGTGTTTACCAACTCATGTCCTAACCGCTGGTCCTTGTTGAGGACAGCTAGTGTCCCACCTGACAATAGAGACGTGAATATTTCAGATATAGAGGCATCAAAGCCAATAGAGGCAAACTGAGCTGTCACATCATATGGCCCAAGATCCCACTTGTCGATCTGAGCCAAGACCATATTCAGAACACTAGACTCTTTCACCAGAACACCTTTTGGTTGCCCCGTAGATCCAGAGGTATATATGACATAACATGGGTCCTCCACCGAAGTGGCAGATTTCGGTAGGCTCCTATTGCCATCTCCAACGTAGAAAGAATGATTTGTATTCTCTGTTAGAATGTCTCTGTTTTCGTTCATTTTCAAGCTAATCAGCAGAATCGGATTTCCAGCAAGCTTTGTCTTGAAGATCACTGTTGAAATATTTTTCAGAGACTCAAAACTTTTGCTGTCATATAGTTCTTTGGATGTTAACATCATCTGAGCATTACAGTCCGACAATGTGAACATGACACGATCAGATGGAATATCCACAGGCAAAGGCAAGAAAGAGAAGCCACTCTTTAGTGTTGCCAAAACAGACAGAACATAGCTGATGGAATTTGGTAGATGAATTGCTATAAGCTTCAGTTGGTTCAACGTATGTTCCAAATTGTTGTTCAAAAGCTTTGAAAGATGTGTGACCTCTTTTGAACACTTTTGATATGAGAGGAACTGCTTGGAGGATTTCAAAGCAATTGCTGATGGTCTCTTTCTGCATTGATTTTCAAATTCTTCAACGATAGATGTTGCTTGGCTGGGAAGAACTTCAACAGGAGTATACAACTTTTGTACCTCTTCTTCTGACACAAGTGAAACGTCAGACACGTTGCTTTCAGATGAAGCGGATACAGATGATAGAAAGCTGGGGAAATGCTTTAATGTGTCAATGATTTGAAGGTGGTCCTGGCCAGGTTTTTTGTTGTACACAGCAGTCAAGTAACGTTCTTTGTCCCCATGCTCAGGAAACAGCACCACGATGTTGCAGTCGTGAAATACGTCATCAGGGAGGTGTGATGACTGTTGTCCAATAACCAAGTTGTGGAAAGGATATCTGTTGACCTGCACATCAGGATATCTGTACAATACATCTTTCATAAAAGGCTTATTGAGATTGAGGCCCTTCAGATCTCTGAGAATCTTTTCAATAGCAGCTTCAATCCGTGATGAGAGGTTCACATGGAAGAGACAAGGGCATATATCAGTGTACAGCGTCTTGCAGTTCTCAGGGATATCTGTTTTGTCAGCAATAAACCCAACATTCACGTCAGCCACACAACATACTCTTGCTAGAAATCCCAAGAAAGCTGCCTGAAGATGCATCAAGTCTGTGCCTACATCAATATTGCATATCCGAGTCCTTTGGAGGTTTGTTGTAGCGGAGACATCAAGGATGTTTGCGAGGACATTCATTTTTTGGCGGAAGAAAGTCAGAGGTTCATAAGCTTTCAGTATTTTCGTCCAAAACCTTTCTTTCTTCCTTATGTTCACAAGGTGGTCATTGTCAGCAGTAGTAAAGTTGCTCTGAAGGACAAGCCCCGTGACCAGCCTAATATGTTTGAACTGTTTTTCAGGGATAGGACTACCATCCAAGTGGGCAAGGCATAGATGAATTGGGGCGGTCGCAGTAGCAACCACTACCTCTTCATCCATTACGTCCAATATTGTACCAGGCAATGACGAATGTTGTCCATTTAAAGACCGTTCTGCAGTTTTGACCAAAAGAAATACCCCACTTGCTGTTCTAACTTTTGCTGATCCCAACTGGTTTTCATTACGTCCAAGTTCAACCGATCTTACAAAATTGTAAAGGGTATCACAGGGTAAGTTGAAGGAGAGCACACCCAGGGAAGGTAGCAGTTTGTACAAGCCATAGTAAGATCTTTTGGACAGGTCTTGGGGAATACTTGTAATGTCACTGTTAAGAATATCCTGAAGGAGACGTCTGAATGATTTCTCTGAAGCTTCCTGACATTTTAGATTGAGAGTGAATGCTGTGTCTTGATCGTCAATTTCCAATGTCTCGGATCGTAGGATGTGTCCTGTGTCAATTCCGGTCTCAATCACGTGCCAACTTATACCATGGGTTTTCTCCCCTTGCATAATTGCCCAACAGGTGGCATTGACACCAGAGTAGGCAGGTAGTGGTGAGTCATGGTAGTTGATAGCAAGGCGTCGTGGCAGGAGGATCTCCTTTTCCTTCAGGATTCGTGGATTGCTGATGCTGAATAGATAGTCCAAGTGACACGCGCCTGCCAGTTCAGTGATTGACGCGCGCCTTGGATACACAGAAATGTGTTTCTCCTCACAATATGCCGTCACTTGCTCAGAGTCCGAGAACACAGCAGCCACATTGAAATCCGGGGTTTTCAGATCCTTCAGGCAAGAAAGTAGCAGATTTCCTTCACCTATAGCAGCCACTTGTAACGCCATCTTAACGATGGTTGTACTTCAACTGCAACATCAAGAGCATGTGTGACATAAGCATCAAACGGAGCACTGAGTGTATTATATTTAAATCATAGATTGAATTGCCGTGTATGTCTCTTTTACATATCTACTCAAAATGAAAAGCTAAAAAAAAAGATTTGAGTTCGTGAGAATTGTTTGAGAAATTGTGAGTAAGTGAGTTGGGTTTTAACTCCGCTTTTAACAGTATTCCAGTTATATCGCGGCGTGTCAGCTTAATGTGGGAGAAAAGCCCGAAGTAATGCAGGTCTCAGACGTTTACCACTTCGGTGAAACCCACGAGCACGGGTATGGTGCTGACAAACCTAGAAACATAATCGGGGCGAACCGGGATTCGAACCCACAATCATAGGTTTCTGGCTACCCTTTTACCCCTGTTACATCATCGCAATACACCCAGAGTAAGAAAGTGGCTAGGTTTAAGTACCGTAGATAATCTACTTGAAGCCGGATAAATATCAAAATTACGAATAGAAGGATTTTAGTTCATACATTGTGTAAAATTCTGATAAACGTTACACACGTATTCACACTTCTATTCACCATCGATAGAGAACAACACATTTAACTGTGCATTGCGTTATTACACGCGAAAAAAGCTAGGTTTCAGTACCGAAGATTTAGGTCGTGGTTTGAGGTCGGGTAAATGTTAAATTTGGGATAGTAGGATTTGAGTACATACATATATTGTGGAAAATGTGCACTTTCAAATTATGATGAAGGGTACAAACTTATACACGCTGTTATTCACCGTCTACAGTGTTTCACACTGAATATATAGTCCGTACACCGAGAATAAATATATTTCAATCTAAATCTTTGTTGAAGAAAAATGTTAATGTAACGTCGAGTGAAGATCGGGTGGCACAATGTATGACCGGCTGAGTGTATCGGCTGGTTTAATTAATTATTCAGTTATTTACATATGGCTGTGAGTGAGTGAGTGTTGTTTAACGCCGCTTTTAGTATTATTCTAGCAATATCACGGAGGGGGACACCAGAAATGGGCTTCACACATTGTACCCATGTGGGGAATCGAACCCGGGCCTTCGGCGTGACGAGCGAACGATATAACAACTAGGCTACCTCACCGCCCCTTAATACCGCTGTGACATAACTGGAATATTTGTAACTGTGGTATAACGTAAAACGTTAACACGAGAAAATAATCAGTCTCGATAGTCTGCCGAAACATTATGAGTATAAGACAAAAAAGCGGTGAAAAATATACGAAACTATATGAATGGATCACTGAAAACATCTTTCACTCACAAGCCTATGGAATAGCACAAGGGACATTGTCTCGTTGTCGCATTGTCGCCCTTCCAAAAACAAGCAAAAAGGGTCAAAATTAACAAAGCGCGACATTGCGACAATGCGATAACGCGACATTTTGGCCATTTGTCGCGTTGTCGCATTGTCGCGCCTTGAATAATACTTTTTATTTTACGAAAGCGCGACAATGCGACAACGCGACACTTTACAAGGTCAAAAGATATCGTGTTGTCGCATTGTCGCCCAGTCAAAAATGTGCAAAAAAGGCGTTAAAATGCGCGACAACGCGACATTTGATAACGGTCATTTGTTAGTTCCAATGGTTCTAAAACCAAAGTAGCAAAAGCTATGTGGTTTAATGTTCCAAAATTATCAGAATATATTTCCCTACAATGGGGGGGGGGGGGGGGGGGTGTAACTGATGAAGAAGCTCTGAAAGGAATGAAAAATGTGAAAAGTCCCGGTCCGGATGGTTTCACAACAGAATTATTTTTTTAAATTTTGGAATAATATTGGACAGTTTTGGCTTAAGTCTGTTAATCATGCATATAGAAACGAATCACTATCAGTAACACAAAAACAGGGATTAATAACATGTATTCCTAAGGAAAATAAGTCGAAACTTTTCCTAAAGAATTGGCGCCCAATCTCTCTCTTGAATACCTCGTATAAACTAGCGTCAGCAGTAATCGCAAATAGAATTAAAGAAGTTTTAAGTATAATTATTAGTGAAGATCAGAAAGGTTTTGTCCCGGGAAGATACATTGGGGAAGTTACAAGATTAATATATGACTTGATGGAATATACTGAATCATATCAAATACCTGGATTACTAATGCTGATTGACTTTGAAAAAGTTTTTGAGTCTGTTGATAGACATTTTATTTTGAATACATTTAAATTTTTCAACTTTGGTCCAAGTGTAGTAAAATGGATATCAAAATCTTTCAGCGATATTGAATCAAGTGTATTAGTCAATGGTTTTGCTGGCCCCTTTTTTAAGATAACTAGAGGTTGTCGTCAGGGGTATCCAGTGTCGCCATATATATTTATTAATTTTTCAATTGATTTGGAAGAATTTTTTTACTTAAACTATACACATAAATTTGAAAAAAATGAAAGGGAAATGAGCGTATGGAAAGCAAGATTATTGACCCCAATAGGTAGAAATACAGTTTTAAAATCACTGTTGTTATCAAAATTAAATCATTTGTTTACATCTATACCTAGCCCCAATGATGAAGTAATAGAAAACGTTCAAAAAAAATGTTTTTCTTTTGTGTGGAAAGGAAAGCCAGACACGGTTAAAAGAAATGTAATGTCACAGCCATATCAGCTTGGGGGACCAGAGTACCTATTATTAAAGTTATGATAGATTCACAAAAACTGTCCTGGGTGAAAAAATTACTTTGTAGTAACTCAAAATAGGTATTACTTTCATTGAGTCCTATCCCAAACATTAACAGATTATGGATGGCAGATGCTAAATATGTCACTGATAAAATTATTCCTGCTGTAGACAACTTCTTTTGGAAAGATGTATTACAAGCATAGAGCAATAATTTATCAAAGAGTAACATTAGTCGTAGTATTGACAATGTAAACCAGGCTTTATTGTTGAATAACAACATTCAGATTGGAGGAAAGTCCATCTTTTATCCGACTTGGTATTGCAAGGGAGTTACATTTGTTGGTGATCTTTTTGATGAAACGGGTGAAATATATTCTTATGAATCTTTTATTGATAGATATGGAATAATAACAGATTTCCTAGCATACAAGTGCATAGTTCAATCAATTATGCAACTTGACAGAAAAAACAATTGTAACTTTAAGAGTATGACTAGAAATTCTTTTCAACCTATTTTGCCATACAATGTTTCCCTACTCACAAGGTGTAATAAAGGCAGTAAACTCTTCTATAACACACTCTTACAACAAGCTTTCATAAAATGGCAGGGAATGCTTCAGTGGGAAGAATCTTTACAGAAAGTATTTACCGATGAACAGTGGGTGGGATTTAATTTGATGGCAACAAGGTGTACCCAGAGCGTAGAACTGAGATGGTTTCAGTTAATAATTATCCACTACATATTACCTTTAAATAATTACTTACATAGTATTGGTTATAAAGATTCACCAAGTTGCCTCTTAGGGCAAGCATAGGTTGGTGAAGGGCTATTCTAACCCGGATCTCCACTTTCTCAACGAAATATTCGACCGGGCACTTAATCGAGGATATACGGCAGGTGAAAAGCAAGACACGAGTCAGGGCGAGTCGGGAATTCGATCTCACGATCAGAGGTTACTGGTACGCATAGGGGACGCCACTCTGTAGATGGGATTCATGGATTTGAGCGAGTGAGAGTGAGTTTGGTTTAACGGCGTTTTGTTTCAGTTATTTGACAGCCTGTCAGCTTGATACGCGAGGATAGCCCAAAGTGATGCATGTGTTAGTTGCTGGGATTCGAACCGACGATTCGAACGGAAGTTTTCTGCTACCCCTAGGAGTCGCCACTCTGCACAGCGAGTTTATATATTTGATCTAGTGAGCGAGTTTGGTTTAACGCCGCTTTGAGCAATATTTCACTTATTACACAGGTCACGTTGGTCACCGGGAGTCCTAATTGGATCGGTGACCGTGTTCGGATGCTTGGCTCCTGAGAGTTTCTTGGGTTTCGGTAACGTCACAGGTCCTTGCATAACACACATATACCACCAGGACTTACAACGAACTTGGTACACTATTTACATAATACTGTACAAATGAACCTAGCCAAGATAACAGTGACTAGAAATATTGACACATGTGACGTCAACAGTCTCTGTAGCACAGGTGGTAGGAATATAAATCAAGAGGTCGCTGGTTCGGATCCCCCCGGGCTTTTGAAAGTGCTAGTTCATAAATGTGTTGGGGTTTTCTCTTACATACAACGGGATGTAAATCACAAATTGTTCAACTCCGCAGCCCAGTCAGCCTCCCTCCGGTATACAAACCAACCACACTGGAGATGGGACTTGCACAGAACCCATCCAAGAATATCGTGGACGTACCAACTAAAGTCCACACTTCTTGAGTGTGCAAAAGCAACAGGATGGCCCAGACATACCACGTGTCGGTGATCTTTCTGATGATCCTTTGTATATTTTATTTATGTCATTTAATAATCAAATCTGTGATTTACCGATTAAAAAACGGAGGCCAATAAAACAAATTAACCAATCATTTCCACAGAATCAACTTAATAAATGAAATGACATTATTTCTGTTACTCTCAATGCGGACTGCTCTTTGCATGACATTAACTGTTGCGTGTATGCTGCTGCTCGAACACTGGAGAAACTCCATACAGCTTCCACAGAAAATGAACCACAAAAGGGAAAAAAACAAAAAAAATCAAAAGAAAAACTGGTTTCAAATTAAATTGAATGAAACAAGGTAAGACGTCTCCTGGATAGAACTCTGTCCTGAAGAACGCAATTTTAAACAATCTATGTCCAAACGGATGAGATCAATTTGGAAAAAAATAAAAACAATCTCTCAATCAATTCTCAATCAAATTCTTGATTCTCTAAAGGCAAAGGTTTGGACAGAGAGAAAAAGAAAGTGGGATAAGAAAAATAATTTCATAAAACAAAATAAATTGTTTAAATCAAACGAAAAACAATTTTACAGGCAATTAAATGCAGAAGCTCTGAAAGGAATGAAAA